TAAGCAACTACATGTCACCGTACAGCCTTCAACCATGACAAAAATCAATACCGTACAGCCAGCAATAAAGGCATGACTAAATGAAAACAATTCAATAAAAAAACGGCCTGATTCATGAAAAAAAAAACGAAAAGCAAAATAGACTGGTAGTAAACAACGATAACCACTGAATACATGGTTCTGACTTGGAACAGGCACAATATTATGACAGGGATAAACATGTTTGATAGCGTTCACCCACCTTTTTTTTTTAAATATTATAGAACTCGTCATCTTTTTCACGTGTCAAATCCCCATTTGTATAGCAAATGGAGCATACAATTGCACTGAGAAGACGAAAAACGTGCAGTCATGGTTTATTTGTTCAATAACAGTATTAGAAGTGAGAATTTTACAGATTTTTACAATAAGATATACAAATACCTCTACTACGTAACAGTAAACGGCAAATACATTTCAGGTATCAATGTTACGTAACTGATATGTCGATATGTTATAGTAGCTGACACCATTATATGATATGAAACTTCAGGTACCGATTCTACAGCGGAAAGAGGGAAAAAGGGGGGTTAAGGATCAAACCATTGATCCTCGTCAGATTATATGCTGACACAACTCGTTGATTCATGCACAGAAAAGGCAAATTCTGATTAAGTGATTGATTGTTGCTTCCTTAATGTCTAGTGATACATATTTTATAAATATTCAGTTAACAAACTAAAGACATATTTGATAAATACGCATGCAAAATGGGTCGACAAAGATGAGGTGCAGGAATTAGGCACAAGCATTGGAAAACGAGAACACGTGGGATAGGGGCACACTTTGTGCCTTGCAAAGGGCCAAATATGGACCTTACCTATATCAGCAATCGTCCTCAATATTTATGAAATATTTGCTACTGGACACCATTGTATAGACATGGCAACGTTCATGTTTTTCAATTCAAAATTTAAAAATGTTGCATAATGCCTTGAGAAATTTAATATGATTCATTGAACGTGTTCTTGAAATTCAGTTAATGGTTTAGAGGGAAAAACTGATACAAGATTCCTACCACCATTTAAAGATACGAAAGTGTGCATGTTGCTATTGGAAACCCGAACAGCCATTGAATATAAAGAGGAGATGCACAATAACATATTAAGGTTTTACGAAATTATTATTGGAAAGAAGCATTGATGATAGAAAGTCCGGATGGACGTACGTTTAATTTTAGATCAGTACAGTGCGATACATATATATCTTAAGTTGTGTTTTCCTCAGATCAATATAGATTCTAAAAGGCCTTATTTTCAGTTGTCGCGTGTATCAAGTGAACATTCCTTATAAAATCAAGTCATTTTGCTATTAAGATCTGCAACAATGTTTTCGTCTTATCCATATTTCATAGCCCTAAGGATGATTTTAAAAGTGTAAAAGCATCTCAGTATTTTTCTTGATACTTGTTGTTGTTGTTGTTATTGGTTTTGGTAACCGGCTTACTTGTATAGTAATTGCGCCTTAAATTCATATAACATTAATATTATGTATATAGATATAAGAAGGTGTGGTATGAGTGCCAATGAGCCTTGGCTCACACCGAACAGCAATCTATAAAGGGCCCCCAAAATGACTAGTGTAAAACCATTCAAACAGGAAAACCAACGGTCTAATCTATATAAAAACGAGAAACGAGAAACACTAATGAACCACAGTATATATACACTCATTCCTTAATATATTTTTAGCATTACATTTTGGCGAGTAATTATATGAAACTGTGATGAACAGGGTTGACTGTGTTACAATAAAGTATGCATGTGTATACGAAAAAAAATAAAATAATAAAAAAAAAACACAAAAAAAAAAAATCAAATTGAAAGGAGTGAAAGGAGAAAAAAAAACAACAAAAAACAAATGGTAGTTCCTTCTAATGAAATGTAACTTATTAAATGATAGGTATCATAAAATTGTTTGGAAATTTAATCAGGTTGTTCACATTTCTGTCGTCTGTGATATACTATAAAGTATATCTTGCTAAAAAAAAATAAGAATAAAGGTCCCCTTTCTGAATGATTTCTCGTTCAAATTCTACTTTTAATTTTGAATGTCTATAAAATATCCTGGTATTTTTTTTGCAGTAGTTTCCAAGTAGTGCAGCCGGAAGGAACAATAAACATTCCCATTGTTTCTCCCGACAGCATTCCCAGACTTTGGAAATATTATGGGCGTAAGGGTAAAGATCATACTTTATCTTATTATTAAGATAATTGGCTAATAAGAATTAAATATAGTCCTTAAATTATCATCCCGGTAGGCTATTCAAGCGAGAAACATAGAATAAGGCATGTCCTAGTTAAATGCTACCAATGCGTCTTCCATGATTGATGTAGCAGATAAGGAATCCTTTAATAAGGATTGAGATTTTGTAGCCGTTGCTTTTCCATAACGGTCGCGTATATTATTCCGGATAACATTCCAAAGACATACTGGTACATTTTTTGTATTTAGTGATACAAATCTTGTTCTGAATGTATTTAAAACACATCAAACGATATTAGTTGAATGAATTGGTCATCTGAGGTTAAAACAATTATAATAAAATTATACATTTTCTATTTGGATGGATGACTAGATATTTTTGTAGGACGAGAAAATGATATGAATGTGTTACAAGCATTTTTAAAATTAAGGCATTTTTTTTTAAACTAGAAAAAATTAAAATCTTTTTACAAAATGCTTGAAATCCTTATATAGAACTACATGTTTAAAATAATAAGTCACTGAAAATATTGAACAACAAAGCCATTTTGTCTTTGATAATTACTGAACTTTAATGCTTGCAATTTAAGAGTCTTGCTAATTAAAAATGAATTCTTCTGATTTTTTTCAAATTACAAGCACTGAACTATACAGGTGTTTGTTATTTCATGTAATGTTTAGGTGTTACACATATGTCCTTATTTTTTGGCAAATACGTCGTTTGTCGTTTAGTCTGGTTGTAGTACTACAACCACATTTGGTGAAACCCGGGCGATGACACATTCAGCTTTGTCAATACTTAATATCTGATAAAACACTGAACATTCGACAACATGGGGTTTTGCGAACACCTCAAATGAATATCTTCTTTTTCATGTGTTCCCAAAAGATTCAAAGTAACACTATCATGATTAGGCTGACCATGGATTGCTTATATTGACAGGACTTGCATCTTTTGGATTTTCATCTAGCATTCATGAGTTTGGAGCAGATCTTCGCATGGATGGTGATGCATTCATAGCAGGAGACGCTTATCCTCTCTGCAAACCCGGTCTTGTTTCTATTTCATATAATGCCTGTCAAGATAAGTCATTTTATGAATTGGCTGAAAATTCAGTCATGCCGAAATTTAGAAAGCCCTGTCACAAATATAAACCCTGATTTGTACTTCACCGACTCGCTGATCCGGATTTTTTTACGTACTAGTTAAGATAGCAGTCCGCAGGAAGACATGTAACCCTTTCTGGACACATTTTCTGACTCCAAGCTGACCAGTCTTTGCTCTTTTTCCTAAATGCAGAGTGCTTTAATAGCGGAGAAGCAGCAATTACTAATGTACACTTTTTTTGCCTGATTGGATCAGGGTTCGAACCCACGACCTCCAGCAATTGAGGCGAGCACACTACTACAAGACCTTTGAAGCGATTTTTCTCTTTGAATTAATGTTCTTTGTTTTGCTTTAACACTTGATATCTTCTAGATGCAACCTAGATTGAATGGGGATGGGGGTTGGAAAAGGTTGGAACACCCCCTTTTTTGACGATCAATGCTTTTGAATGGGAACATATGGTTGGATCCCCCCCCTTTTATCCTTGGTTGGAACCCCCTTTTAGAAATGGCTTAATCCTACCCAATTTTTTTTTTCTAATGACTACTTTAAAAATGGCATATTTTTTTATTCTATTCAATTAAATCCTCATTGACACCACTAAAACGAAAATTTCTCTGTAAAACCAAATGATTAATTTTAATGTTAATTAAAATGTATGCTTAAAATGCACTAGAGTTTTAAACAAAATATTTAACAAAAAAAAAACCTATATAATCGGAAACTACGAGTGTATGAAGGCTGTTCCCTTATATGGTATATTTTAATCATTTTTGATAAAAAGATATATACAATATATGTACATTGTCGGAAAATATAAAATGTATTTGTATGAGCTTTAGAAACAGCACGAAAAGCGATGCTCGCCGAGCTTTTCTCCTGTTTCGCAGCGAGTACGAATAAATTTTATATTTTCTGATAATGTACATATATTGTTTTTATCCTGAAATTTACACCCAACACTTGAAATTTTAGTTGTTAAAATCTAAATCATTGTCTCTAATTTTTCAAATAAATCGACATAGTTTAAACGCGGACCGCGAAGAGGACCCCAAAATGAGCTGGTACGCAAAAAGAAATATCCACATTACCGCTTGCTCAACATGAAAGAGGGGTAACAGGAGACTTTATTTGTAGTACAAATAAAGCAAAAATTTATTTGTGTACCTGTTATTTGTACAATAGTTGGCTGATTGCAGGATAAAATTATTTCTACGTTATCTAGCAGCATAACATTCCTTTTTATTAATGATCCAACCTTAGATTTATTTGTATATTTTTTGGTTTTACTCCATTTACTGAAGAAGGGGTTTCCAAAAAAAAATATCGCTAATGTTGCACATAGAAATGAAAATATAGCTGTAAAGTCGGTGCAATAATTTATAACGGCAATCTGAATTTTTTTCTCACTAAAATTACACATTCGAAAAATATTCAGTGTATGTACACAAAAGCGCATATTTATTTTACATCCTTTCCGATAATAGCATATATGTATACATATAACCTCATGATGAACTTTAATGATTTTTAATGATCAAAATAATTTCATTATACAATTTGACCTGAAGCAATTGAAACACACTTAAATTTATTGACAATATACATGTATTTTCACAGTTGAGAGACATTTAAAAATAAATATTGTATAAGGAAAACGTGGTTAGGTCACGTTTTAGTGCCATCGAATAAGTTACTATACTAAAATGAAGATGTGGACATGTGTGCTTGTATGTTTAATGGCATATATACAATACGGTAAGTTTAATTTTAACATTTTTATGTCATTTAAAGACATTATTAAATGTCGATTATAAATCCGAATATGATAATTATGTTCGTACAACGAAGCCGTAAATAAGAAGTCTGTCAAAGAATATTTGTCACAGGTAAAAATATTAACGAAATTGTGTCAAAGTAATTATGTATTGGTTAAAGGTAATAAATTGGAGGATAAGAAATATTTGTGTGTCCAAGGGAAGGGGGCTTTGTATACCGGTGGCTACATGTATTTATTACATGTATACATGTAATACATGTTACGATTATTGTACCTGTGTGTATAGGTTAAACGCTGTTTGGTGGACTAGTTATTCCAATTTTACAAATTGTCAATTATTATATTACTTGTCTTTTTTATAAATTTGAGTAGTTTGCAATGAATAAATCAATTGACAAATAAAATAAGAAATCAGATTAAAGTATGATTCTAAAAACCATCAGTAAGTAATTTTTGCAAGAGTTTGCATAAATCAGGGAATCGCACAATATGACGAGAAAGTACACATATATATATATACAAACAGTGTATGAGAGAGCTACATGTACAGGTGCCTTCAATCATAAGAAATGATCAGCATCTACTCGTAAACGCAATCTTTAACAAAACTATACGCCACTGGACGTTAAGCAAACAACAATCAATCAATCAATCAATCAATCAATCAATCAAAGATCAATTCAACAAGTAGATGAGATAGCAGGTCCTTGTACACCTTATACAGGATTATATTATCGTATATAAATGAGTAGCATTAAGGTAAACCATTCAACGCTTAGTTTAACGTAATATATAATATTGAAACAACTCATAACAGGAGAAGGAACAAAACATCCGCTAATGGATTGATTGATCGGTGTTTGCTTTACACCGCATCAGCGCAAAAAGTCTAAATCGCGGCAAACTCGCTAATGGACTAACTCCTCTTGGTTACAGTCATATGTAATAGCATTACAACTCAGCAAACTGTTGATTTGAAATTTTTTAAACTATGTTTTGATAAAGATTCCTGACTGAAACAAAGCATACGTACTGCTTTTTTTTATTTTTAACGAACCTCCACCTTTACAATTTGTCAACCACAAATTTGCCTATAAGTGTTACTGTAATTAAATTCAGCAGAGAATGTCAAAGATCACTACCTCATTAAGATGGTACCAAACATCTCGACTAAAATTAATTTGGCTCGTTTTACAAAATATATACTTTTACCCTTTGACAAAAATATAAAAATTTCAAAAAACTTGACCTACACACTTTATCGGAACAATTTCATTGGATATATAGCAGTTTGACAAACATTCATTTTGATCATTGAGGAGCTTAATATTTCCTTAACAATAGAACGTGATTGAAACGTTCAGCTGATTTTTACAGAGTTATCTCCCTGTGGTGTTTTTGACCACCGTAAGGCATTAACGTATAAAGACACAGTCTTATGAGATTCGTGAATTTGGGCTTGGAGATGGGAACTCATGAAATGGTTCAACTATTTTGTTTTGGTGCACCCTTCCCCCTTTTTTATAACATAAAGCAATAGTACGACATGCGTCTTTTGAATATTTACTAGTACCTCTGACTCCTAAAATATTTTTACAAAACTGTTTACAAAGCTTCTCTAATACAATGGCATCTGTACAGATACATTATTATTGTTTGCCTCTGTAAATTTATATACACTTTTCTATTGTTATCTTCAGCATTATCGAATGACTGCTCCCATGCTAATATAGAGAACGATCTTCAGTTGTGTTTGGATGGTATATGGAACAAGGCTAACGACAAGAGTGCATTCTGGTATGGAAGTAATTGGCAGAGTATTTGTGGATATAACCCATTTGCTGCACCGTACTGTACAGTCATACAACAGCCTTATACACCGCATAGTCTACTTAACACAGTGTATGGATTAAACTGGAATTTGACCGTGAATCCACTGAAACAGTACCTAGATATAACGTATCAAACACCCACAGGTAGATAGTAAATTTTCATTTTACTGAACACTTTATATTATTGAAATAATAATGATGCGGATCCAGCCATTTTGAAAAAAAGTGTGTGTGTGTGTATGGAAGGGGGGGGGGGGGGGGTGGGTTCGGGGGGGGGGGGGGGGGGGTTCGGGGTTCGGGGGGGGGGTTCTAACCCCCGGAACACCATGAAACCTTTACATAATTAAAAATAATAATAATAAATAAATTGAAAAAAGGGGGACCATGGAACGTTCACAAAAAAAAAAAAAAAAAATCAATAAATAAGGAGGGTGCCAAGCACCGGAACAACTCCCGACCGACCGTTGGATCCGCTAATAAATAATGTCATATATCACATCTTTGTAAGGGAGCTACCATTTGATTTTTGGGGGGGAGAGGGCTAGGATGAAATTTGAAAAAAATAGGCAGGACAGGAGTTTTGAGTGAAAAAAGGCAGGAAAAACTAATAAAAAAAGGAAGGACCAAATAGCGTGAAAAATTAAAAGGCAGGACAGAGATTACATCTTAAAAACAATGCAGGACAAAAAATTCCATCCTAGCCCCCAACCCCCATAACAATCAAATGGTAGCTCCATAAGAAAAATTGTCACATTCATTCATCGAAAGTTTGAAAGTGTTGAAACTGCTAAACTGAGAAAACAATCGACACTTTAATCCTTCGTATATAAAAATTAATAGCATGTCGTGCACACTATCTTGTCAAATATTTGCACTTAATCATGATTTTGATCAAATAAACAAAGCACTTCTAGGAAATTGAGCATGTAGTTTGATCATACTTATATTAAAAACTACTTTTCTGTTGGGATCATTAAAGTTTAATGGATTCTATTTACATGTACATGTTTAGTAAAAATAAATTAACGTAATGTTTCAGGATCATACCCTAGCTGTGGAAATAAATACACGGTGACTGAATCAAAGACATTTGAACTACAACCTTTACTGTCCAAAAACATTCACCCATGGGAAGCACGAAATATTCCAACAATAACTTGGACGGCTTTACCGAATAAATTGTATACATTGTACATTTTTGATACTGGCTCCTTCATAGCACATGGAATTTATATCAATATAAATCAGAATGACATACAGAATGCCGAGGTAATTATTTTTTTTGTCATACATACATGTTGTATTTTCTTACTTTTGAAACTGCCATTAGGCCACGCTTAAAAATATTTTGGTTTGCCCAAACCCTACCAAGAGGTAGAGACAGTAAGTAGGTAGGTAGGCATTTTCTTTTTTTTTCGGCAAAGAGAAATTGACGAGTCAGATGTTTTTTTTAGTCTTTGTGCATATCTGATTAAAAAAAAAAAACGTTTTTCAAATCAGAACAATAACACATTTTAAGTAGGCAGCTATATTCTGGTTAGGTAGGGTTAGGGCATCCAAACTAACATATTTTTCTATTGCCCAATGATAAAACTGAACGACAACGCAAATATTTTCAGTAGAAAACACAGTCTATTTGTTTTTAGATAGACATAAGGTCGCAACATTAGCTTCACAATGAACAACTAGCGTCCAAACAATATACTAGGAAGCTCCCTCTTGTCCTAAATTTGTGAGTAATGTCAACAGGGTCAATATTAAGGATGTTTGCTCCTCTTGTCCTAAAGTTGTGAGTTATGTCACAAGGATCACTATTAAGGATGTTTGCTCCTCTTGTCCTAATGTTTGAGTTATGTCAACAGGGTCAATATTAAGGATGTTTGCTCCTCTTGTCCTAAAGTTGTGAGTTATGTCACAAGGGTCAATACTAAGGATGTTTGCTCCTCTTGTCCTAAAGTTGTGAGTTATGTCAACAGGGTCAATATTAAACGACTATATAACACAGGCACATAACAGCAACTGCAGTGAACAAATATCAAGAAATTACCACTGATAACATTCTTGCGGAAATGAAACAACACACAATAAATCTCATTCATATCAATGTATTTTTTTGTTTCGACAATCTCTCTTTCCCCTAAGAAAATAAGTATCTTTTACCGCCGTTCCTCAAATTAAACTCACAAAGAAGGTTTTGACACGATGCATACGCAGTACATATATAACACATTTACTGTGTGAAACAATCCCGATCATAGACATGGGTACTTTGTCCGAATGCTATGTTGTTTGAACCGGAAAAATCCGATGACTCGTGTAAAAAGAGTGTTACGCTCTTTGCACGTTACAAGCCATTGCAGCGACTCTGAGGGGTCTGTAAGGGAGCTACCATTTGATTTTTATGGGGGGGGGGGGCTAGGATGAAATTTGAAAAAAAGACAGGACAGGAGTTTTGAGTAAAAAAAAAGGCAGGATGAGCAACTTGGCGAAAAAAAGGCAGGATGACAATTTATGTTAAAAAAAGTCAGGATAAACTAATAAAAGGCAGGACCGAATAGAGTGAAAAAATAAAAAGGCAGGACAGAGATTACAACTAAAAAAAAATGTGGTACAAATTTCGAGTCCTTCATTCAAGTCGATTCCTATCTAAGACTTGCAGACCTGTTCTAAACATTGTCTTATATAGATATAAGAAGATGTGGTATGAGTGCCAATGAGACAACTTTCCATCCAAGTAAAAATTTTATAAAAGTAAACCATTATAGGTCACAGTACGGTCTTCAACACGGAGCCTTGGCTCACACCGAACAGTAAGCTATAAAGGGCCCCACAAAAAATTACTAGTGTAAAACCATTCAAACGGGAATACCAACGGTCTAATCTATATAAAAAACGAGAAACGAGAAACACTTATGAACCACATCAACAAAAGACAACTACTGAACATCAGATTCCTGACTTAGGACAGGTGCAAACAAATGCAGCGGGTTTAAACGTTTTAATGGTACCAAACCTTCACCCTTTTTCTGAAACAATAGTGTAACATCACAACATAGAAAGACACACCATAAAATATCAACTGAAATAGCTTAACTCAATCAAAGGACATATTAACACCATTGAACATACACTGAACAAATAAATTTGACCTATGACACAATGTAAATACAAAATAAATAAACTAAGGGAAGAATAATAAAAGTAACATGTTATATCGGTAAGAAATGTTAAACAATTAAAGAAAAACAATATGCTCGAACAAAATTCCATCCATTTGCAATAACTTTAAACACAGGTAAATGAAAATAATTTTGTTGTTAGGTATACCTGTACAGTACCAATAGAGAAAGGAAATATTTTTACAAAATAAATAATTTTGAATACAAAATTAATAAACTAAGGGAAGAATAATAAAAGTAACATGTTATATCGGTAAGAAAATGTTAAACAATTAAAGAAAAGCAATATGCTCGAACAAAAATACCATCCATTTGCAATAACTTTAAACACAGGTAAATGAAAATAATTTTGTTGTCAGGTATACGTGTACAGTACCAATAGAGAAAGAAAATATTATTACAAAATAAATAATTTTGATGTTCATAGTACGAAGTGAAAATTTATAAGAAGATGTGGTATGAGTGCCAATGAGACAACTTTCCATCCAAGTAAAAATTTTATAAAGATATAAACATGTGAAAGCTCTCTCACAGGCAAACAACCCATAATTAAAAAATATAAGGGCATACACCACAAGCACGGGGACACATTCTACTGCATCCACACAGCACGAGCAACAAACCCTGCAGTAAATAGATAAATAATTTTGATGTTCATAGTACGAAGTGAAAATTTATAACTTGTTAATTGGTTCTCGCCCTTAACATGCCTGATGCATTTGCCACTGATCGTTTAGCAAACAACAATCAATCAATCACCAATAATTCAATGCAATATGGGTTTATGAAAGGACGATTTAAAAGAATTGCGTTTTTCTTTCTAACTGACTTGGTTATGCCCCTTCGATTTTGACGCAAAGAAGTGATGTGTTTCAGAGTGAACAATGTACCTGATGAATTGATTCTAAAAAACGCACGGAAACTAAAACATTTTTTTTCTCACTTTTATGAGATTTTTACCACTTTTCGATGGTCTCGTGGAAGTATGCTCGCCTCGAGTTAAAAAGGTCATAGCTTCAAACCCAATCTGTGTCAACTCAAAGACTTCAAAATAATTAGTTTCTACCTCTCGTCTAAGCAAGAGGCATATAAGAGTAGGATGAAAGACCAGTCGGCTCGTAGTCAGAATAATGTGTCCGGTTAGAATAGGGTGCCCTGTTCTTCTGGAATGAACATTTTTTGTAACTCGTTACCCAGTAAACTACAAATTCTGCTCAGCGTTTCGGTCTAGAACAGAACAGAGTTTATATTCATATCATATAATCAGGTTCTTATTCTGAATATACCGTTTAATTTGCCACTGAACGTTTAACAGCTATTCCTCCATCTGTGAGATAAAAAAAAAAATCTCTTTACATTTCCCTTTTTCAACATAACTTGTATTTTATTTTTAGGCTATCATACCTTACCATGGACCTAAAAATCCAACTGTAAGAGAAAATGCCTATGTGTTCCTGTTATTCGAACAAAAAAATCGAATTGTTTTAACCAACGAATGGAATCAAAAACTGAGGCAGACAATGGTAACTGCGGCCTATAACACTACAGACGCATTTCAGGAGCTTGATCTAACAGGTATGCACTATGGTTTTTTTTTGTTTTCGTTCCTTTCTCTGCCTACTCTGTGTCATAGGGATTGTAAAGGGACCCTTTAAACATATAGTTACTGTCGAAATTCTTAAGATCACAATTGTTTCTATTTTTAGTATCGGGCTACATGTATATATGATAAAAGTGTAGACGTAAGTAAAGAGGTACAGACCTTTTAAAATTCAAACTGACCACACGCACGATATACGCACGGACGATACACGCACGGTGAATGTACAACGTAATGCAAATTTCTCATGAGCTTGTGTCAACGTGAGCTTAAAATAGGAACTTTAATGTAACATATTGAAATTTCAATGTCTAAGACTATATTGCTGTGTGTTTGTTTTTTTCTACATTGAATAGAGGTAAAGGGGAGGGTTGAGATCTCACAAAACATGTTTAACCCAGCCATATGTTTGCGCCTGTCCCAAGTCAGGAGCCTCTGGACTTTGTTAGTCTTGTATGATTTTTAATTTTAGTTCATGTATATGGTTTGGAGTTTAGTATGACGTCCAGTTTCACTGAACTAGTACACATTTTTGTTTAGGGACCAGCTGAAGCGCGCCTCCAGGTTCGGGATTTTCTCGCCGTGTTAACGACCCATTGGTGGCCTTCAGCTGTTTTCCGTTCATTGGTTGGGTTGTTGTCTCTTTGACACATTCCCTATTTCTATTCTCAATTTTATAATAAAATATTTTGTATGCTTTTTTTCCCAGCGAACATTTATTTATACTTTTGTATACATTCGATTCTAGCTTTTTGTGGTATTTATTTTCAAAACCCCCCTCTTCCAAAAATTGATTGTCCCTTTACAACAAAAATACTGCATAATTAAGGGTAATTTATTCGTTATTTATAATGTCATTTGCCAAAAAGAAGTTATTGTTATTAATAGTAATATCACAACTATTTCATAACCTCTTTTTACAAACAATCTTACGAGTAAAATTGTTTGTAAAAAGTAAAATCACAAAAATACTGAGGAAAATAAAAAAAAGGAAAGTCCCTAATCAAATGGCAAATTCAAAAGCTCAAACACATCAAACGAATGGATAACAACAGTCATATTCCTGACTTGGTACAGGCATTTTCTTATGTAGAAAATGGTGGATGGAACCTGGTTTTAAAGTTAGCTAAACCTCTCACTTGTATGACAGTCGCATCAAATTCCAACATATTGACAACGATGCGTGAACAAAACAAACAAATACAATAGGTAAAAATGTCAAAAATAGGGATACAGCAGTCAACATTGTGTTATCATCTTAATCACTATAAAAACAATCAAATGTAACAGAAAAGCACAAAAAGGGATACATCAAATTTAAATCAAATGTGTAATGCATGAACACATCAGTAAAACTACAATAAATTATAGTCGTAAGATTTTTTTCTGAAACGTAGCCCAGACTCATTGGTCAAATTATAAATAGGGTTTTTGTCGAGCCTGTGACTTTTGTCGCAGAAAGCTCGACATAGGGATAGTGATCCGGCGGCTGCGGCGGCGGCGTTAACTAACTTCTTAAAAGCTTTATATTTTAGAAGGTGGAAGACCTGGATGCTTCATACTTTGTACATGTATACAGATGCCTTATGTTACGAAGTTTCCGTCTGTCACATTTCCATTGTCCTTGACCTCATTTTCATGGTTCAGTGACTACTTGAAAAAAAGTTAACATTTTTGTAATGTTAATTTCTCTCTTATTATGAGTAATAGGGTAACTATATTTGGTATGTGCGTACTTTGCAAGGTCCTCATGCCCGTCAGACAGTTTTCACTTGACCTCGACCTCATTTAATGGATCAGTGAACACGGTTAAGTTTTGGTGGTCAAGTCGATATCTCAGATATTATAAGCAATAGGTCTTCTATATTCAGTGTATGGATGGATTGTAAGGTGTACATGTCCATCTAGCAGGTGCCATCTGACCTTGACCTCATTTTCATGGTTCAGTGGATATAGTTAAGTTTTGTGTGTTTGGTATGTTTTTCTTATACTGTATGCAATATGTCTACTATATTTGGTGTATTGAATGATTGTAAGGTGTACATGTCCAACTGGCAGTGTCATCTGACCTTGACCTCATTTTCATGGTTCAGTGGTCAAAGTTAATTTTTTGAGGTTTGGTCTTTTTTTCTAATACTATATGCAATAGGTCAACTATATTTGGTGTCTGGAAACATTTTATGAGGAACATGTCAGTCTCACAGGTTTTATTTGACCTTGACCTCATTTTCACGGTTCATTGCTCAGTATTAAGTTTTTGTGTTTTGGTCTGTTTTTCTTAAACTATAACGGTAAGTAATAGGTTAACTATATTTTGTAAGGAAGGATTGTAAGCTGTACACGTCTGCCTGGCATGGTTCATTTGACCTTGACCCCATTTTCATGGTTCGTTGGTCAATGTTTATTTTTTTTTTGGTTAAGTCTTTTTCTTAGAAACTATAAGCATGATAAGCAATAGGTCAACTATATTTAGTGTATTGAATGATTGTAAGGTGTACATGTATTTCTCGTTAGGTTTATATGACCTTGACTTAATTTCTTTGATCATATTAAGTTTATGTGATAGTTGTAGTAAAGCTTTATATTTAGGACTATCAACATAATATCAATTGTTAGTTAAAAAGGCGAGACATTTCAGCGTGTGCACTCTTGTTTTTCTATTTCACATTTCATTCAATATTATTATTATTTTTTTTTTTTTTTTTTTTTTTTTTTAGTAAATCATACTTTGTTATGAATTACAATTTATAACTAAAATCAGCAAAGACCCATCGAAACAACATCTGATACAAAAATTTAACAATACTTTTAGATATTTGGATGATATATTGGCTATCAATAATGACAACTTCAGTATGTATACTTAAGAAATTTATCCTGTTGAACTTACTTTAAATAAAGCTAATACTAACAATGACCACTGTCCTTTGCTCGATCTTGATATCTATATCATTAACGGGAAGCTTAATACAAAAATTTATGATAAAAGAGATGATTTTTCATTTCCTATCGTTAATTATCCATTTTTAGATGGTGACGTTCCCTTGTCACCTTCTTATGGTGTTTATATATCTCAACTTGTACGATTCGCTCGTGTATGTAACAACGTATTAGATTTTAGCGAGAGAAATTTATATATAACTGAAAAATTAATACACCAGGGTTTTCGATATCATAAACTAGTCAAAACATTTACTAAATTTTATCCTCGGTATAAGGACATCATTCGTAAATATAACTCAACATGCAGACATCTTATACGTTCGGGTATTTCACATCCAATCTTTTATGGTAACATTCTTTACAAAGCACAAAAATGCCAGTATTCACCTCAAAAGCTAATAAAACCTTTAAACAGACTTATTAAGAAGGGATATAGTTACGATACTGTTGTCAGGTCATTAAAGATTGCATATTTTGGCTTTAATATTGATTCACTTATAGGGTCTTTGCATCGGAATTAAACATATTTATTCTAAAACCAGTTGTTGGCATGACACGGGTTGTGTTCTTCTCATATATTTTATGAAGGTATAATACTAAACCTCTAACAGGAGGGATTGTGCCTGATATTCATATGATGACGACATAATCTTTCAATCAGTTTAATTGAGGTCTGGAGCTGGCATGTCAGTAACTGCTAGTAGTCTGTTGTTATTTATGTATTATTGTCATTTTGTTTATTTTCTTTTGTTTCCTATTCTGACATCGGACTCGGACTTCTCTTAAACTGAGTTTTACTGTGCGTACTGTTGTACGTTTGTTTTTTCTACATTGGCTAGAGGTATAGGGGGAGGGTTGAGATCTCAAAAAACATGTTTAACCCCGCTGCATTTTTGCGCCTGTCCCAAGTCAGGAGCCTCTGGCCTTTGTTAGTCTTGTATCATTTTTAATTTTAGTTTCTTGTGTATAATTTGGAGTTTAGTATGACGTCCATTATCACTGAACTAGTATACATATTTGTTTAGGGGCCAGCTGAAGGACGCCTCCGGTTGCGGGAGTATCTCGCTGCATTGAAGACCCATTGGTGGCCTTCGGCTGTTGTCTGCTCTATGGTCGGGTTGTTGTCTCTTTGACACATTCCCCGTTTCCATTCTCAATTTTATTTATTGACAATTTTGACATTTGTTAGTTGAATACATCATACAATATTATGTTTATTACTACAGGACCTATAGCGATGAATTGGTTAACAGCTGTAAAAGATCCCTATTCTGTCCAGTATTTTGTCAACGTCGGTCTCATTAACAACTGTCCTAACATGGTAACTGAAGGTAAGTGCATATTTGTAAAAATAAAATTAAATAAATAGCATGTATGTAAAAATTAAATTAAATAAATAACACTATCAATTTTATTTATTGGAAGCGCTTTCTGGGTTTACTTTCATCAGGAAATTGACAAGTCCCAGCCTCATATACATGCACAACGGTAAATAATTTTAAGTAAGTAGGTATAGATACACATGATAATTAAGTTTACACACTCTCATTTTAGTCATACAAATCTAATTGGTGGTATTCAATTTACTCCGTTCCCACAATTAAATTGCATTTTGTGATCAGTACTCGTTTGCTAAATTACCAATTCTGTAAAAAGTGATTATAGGGTTTTATTTAATCCCCTTTTTTTTAAATGCAGCTATTTGACAATTATATATAAATATTTGTATGAATATATGTATGAAAATGTGTATAAATGAAATGACTTAGTTTTTGACAAGGCATCCAACCCTAAATGACGCCATAATGGCGCGCATAATTGACGAACTTTTCCACTGGAAGACATTTGGTCGGGTTGTTGTATCATTGACACATTCCACATTTCCATTCTCAATTTTATTTTATAACTGGAAAGTGGTCTATCATCCTGTTTTTGTTTGTTTGTATTATACATATGAAGTGTAGCTTTTTGTTTATTTCTTATTAGTATATTTAGTATAATCTACTATGCATTATCAACCTAACATGTCGCCTTTGAAAACCGGTAAATTAAAAAAATTTAGCTAATTCCTTGACAATAATTTATCTTTTCAATAACATTGTGGTCAGGGAATCCCTTCTATTTTCAAATGAGTTTACCGTCGAATCGAATGAGTTTCGATCCTCAAGCCTGATAATAACGCACGATGATCAGGAAAAAATCGGACATTGATGGTTCCTTGATGATTTCAGATAATCTGTAGGGATTAAAATAGGAATATCAGCACACTTCCTTCCTTTATTTTAATCAGCTAAAGAACTGATAAATGCTCGCTTAACGTCTAGCAGCAAAAATTACATGGATATTCAGGACCATTAATTGTCAATGAAATATTTATACGTTTTTTTACAAGATCAAAAAGTAGAACTAAAGGTAGCTGGAATGTTCGACGATGTTAGTGGAATTTTCTTAAATTTCTGGAACAATGTACAGTATTAAAACTGAGTGTCAGGGTCCTTCCTTTTTCGTTAAAATTTATTGAAATTAACGAAATTACAGTTACATTATCAGGTTTATATTGGGGAACCTAACTTTTCCTTATTGTTTAAACATTACCCAAAAGAATTGGTCTAAATTCAATGAGAGAATGGCGATGACGTCACTATCACATTTCAAAATTATGTCTATGAGCTGTTATACAAAACAGCCAATCAAAAGAAGTGTTCCACCCAAAATTAAATTTTTCCATAATGTTTCAGCTTTGAAAAAGAAGAAAATAAGTTTTATACCAGATGATGTTGACTTGTCCATGTCATTAGACATCAATCTTCACACGACAGCTTTAAATTTTGATTCATGTTGCACAAGTTATAGATATCAGTAAGTATATATATCAAGGGCCAAGCAGAGAATCCTTTTTTCCAATATGTAACGTTATAGTCAAATAAATCATCATGGCGTTCAATAACGTTTAAAAGATTACTTGTATACCATGTTCAACCAGCTTTTCGTCTGAAGTAAAGAATGACCTCAAAGACTGTCAACTTGTTTCAATATGATTCGTGTGTATTTATATTTCCTAATTGGTGTCAGAAAAGTGGCGGTTTCTGTTGAAATATTTAACAGACGCTTATCAGAGGAGGTTAAATGCTTTGTTTTTGTTGATGAATCCTCCAGATCATTTATTCTAGATATAACAAATTACCTTTAATCGTATTGTTATGATGTATACGTAGTTACAATGACGTTTATCCCATAGTCTTTTATTTGCTCAGCATGACGATTCAAACATGTCATGTACAGGGCAAAATGACAAAAGAAAGTTGTATAAAGACAGATAATCAAATGTACAAACAATTGAAAATCATATTTAATCTGAATACGATTTCTTATAGGTAAATTGTAAAGAAATTTATAGAATTTATTTTAAAAAAAAACAACATTGAAATTCCTCCTAAATAAAATACCAGGTAAAATGAGCGTCTTTGCAAAGTTGTCTGACAATTTTCAAAGTTATGCATGTCAAATATTACTTATATCTTTATATCATTTGTTTATTACTGTCAACCTATTGTGAAAATATAATTTAGAGAACATACAGCAAAACTGAATCCTATTGGAGATGGCTATATCAGTCCAGCTCACGCCAGAAGTGAGGCAACGTTAACTATGACTCTTCTGAGAGAGGGCTTACTCTTCATACCATCAGGAAAAACAGGTACTATTGTAATGGAATTTGATGCGACTGTCATACAAGTGAGAGGTTTAGCTAGCTATAAAACCAGGTTCAATCCACGATTTTTCTACATAAGAAAATGCCTGTACCAAGTCAGGAATATTACAGTTGTTATCCATTCGTTTCATGTGTTTGAGCTTTTGATTTTGCCATTTGATTAGGGACTTTCCGTTTTGAATTTTCCTCGGAGTTCAGTATTTTTGCGATTTTACTTTTTCATTATTTCAAAGTGAATTATGTATTATGACATTTGTCGTTCTTGTAACTACATTGTTTTTTCTAGCCTAATTAGAATACTGTGAACCAACTTATTTTCGCGGATACTTAATTTCGTGTTAAGTCCTTCCTAGCCCATTTCGAAGCGATTTATTTTTGCGATTTGCAAATTTACTAGATGTTGTTAAAAAGAGATATAAGTTCTACATGTTTGCCACGATTTAAAGTCGCGAAAATAAATCGCTCGCAAAAAGTAGTTTGTTTACAGTACTTTGAATATCTAACACCGTTACAATAACAGGTTTGTGTACAATCTAACAAAACGTAAAATCTCAAAAGTACTGAACTCCGAGGAAAATTCAAAACGGAAAGTCCCTAATCAAATGGCAAAATCAAAATCTCAAACACATCAAACGAATGGATAACAACTGTCATATTCCTGGCTAGGTACAGGCATTTTCCTATATATATGTAAAAAATGGTGGATTGAACCTTGTTTTATAGCTAGCTAAACCTCTCACTTGTATGACAATCGCAACAAATTCCTTATAGTGTATTACAACCTTTTCCCGATTTTGGTGGTCGATAAAAAAAAAGATCACCATAGTGCGAATGTACTACACGCCTCTTGTTTCACACCTTTAAAAAACCTCGTCGTCAATATAACGTGACTTGTAAAAATTTGATAATGTACCTATTGTTAAGTTACATCAACAGTTTCCGTGGATTAGTAATACCAGTAGTAATGCATAATATTTAACACAACTGGACAAATCGGAAAGTCTCTTAACTTTAAAAGTAAAATTATAACGAACTGTAAGGTCTTTTTTAAAGGGACATAATGAATCAAGAGCAAACACTTGTAAAAGTAAACATTGAAACAACCCAATCTTAATTTCAATACCATTTAATAATTTTGTTAACATACATATGTACATAACACAAATACAGGACTTCGTACAACCACCTTAACCACAAACGAGGAGATGGGTTGTATGTCAATGAGATAGCAACCTAATAATAAACAAAAAAGCCATATGACATCTTAATGGTAGCATACAGTCTTCCAAACAGTCAGATATACACACTTATATAATACACGTATACAACGAATCTTTACTGTGTACACTGTCAGTGTAATGGCATATGTGCAAATGTGTTAGATTCGAAAAAAGACCAAACAAAATAGAGGGAAAAGGTACCAAGAGTGAAATCGAAAACCATAATCGAATAAAAAATAACGACATCAGGGCAACAAAGACAAACGATAAACAGAAAAACAACAAGTCACATAGTATTTCGAATACTACTATATATTTAGCAACAGGGGCGTAAATAAAATAGATCATACTTTATTTTAAGATATATTCAAACAGAAAACAACTAAACAGTTATAAATATGTTTCAGATGTACGTTATACTTTACTATGTGTCGACATATCTGTTCCATACCCAGCAGCTGGAACTCCTGATCTACCTCTTCTGCATATGCTCGTTACTAATATCAACGGAAGTGACATTGCATCTGGAGACATAATCCGATCGTACCTAGGTCCAGCACCCCCTGATTATGTAAACCACACCTACATCTTTTTGTTGTATACACAGACTTCAATGCTAAACACAATTGAAACTCAATCCTATCTAACACAAGGGTGTTCTGCTGGAATAGATGGTCGGTAAGAATTATTTTCTAAACTAAAGAGAATAGATAATATGAAGTTATAGTACATGCATCATTATGAGCCGTAAATACTTTATATGGGTTCACTAGCAAGGTCACAGTAAACGTATATAGAGGAAACAAATCAGGAAAAAACCCTACTTGCTGTCCAACTATCATACATGCTGTGGTGAAATATAAACATTTATTGTTTAGCAAACAAGATTTTTAGCAAGCCACAATTTGATCCTATACATACATTAACGTTGTTTTACGGCGGCGTCGTTATATTTTAATGATATTTAAATTTGTGATTAGGTCAGTTTATGGGGAGACACTAGTCATAGGTCAACTGAATTTGAAATTTAGTTGTATTAGTATTGGAACATCTCTTTTTCATAGGGATTACTTGGCCCGCCCTTCAGTCATAGTTTTTTTTATAATTGCTGAGTGTACCTGGTAAGGGGAACGATAACTTTATTGACATACAGGAGTCTAGCACTAGCATATCTCATTTTCCGTCGAGATAATATCCTTTAGTTATTGTTCATTGACTTTTGATGTCTTCATTTTAAAGTTTGAGTATCATAGTCATTTAAATGGAACCACTTATGATAGGTAAAAAAGTAATGGTTTACTTTGCAGTTGTATAAACATTGATATGCACGTATCTCATTACGAGGGAGAGTATTTGGCCCTGCATATTCAGTCATAGTTCATTGACTTTGAATATGATGTATATGATACATGACCAAAAAATGAAAAATTTCCTGCGTTCGAAGCGCTTTTCTGCATTTACCTTCACCAGGAACGCTCAAAGCCGAATATTTGAAAGCAAAGGACGTTTAAGTACCGAAACAGTTGAAGAGCTTTATGACAAAACAATACAAAAACAAAAATATAGCCAAATCCATCCAATGTCAACTTTGCCTGAGGGAGTTGAAAGCTTAGTTTCTTTATAATTCACTAATTTATAAACGGGCAATTTTAGAAAATTTAAAAAAGAAGATGTGGTATGATTGCAAATGTGACAACTGTTTACAAGAGACCAAATGACACAGAAATTTACAACTATAGGTCCCCGTACGACCTTCAAAAATGAGCAAAGCCGAAACCGCATAAGGTTTGTTATAAATCATGTCAGTACCGAACTACTGACTACTGAGCTGATGGTATCCTCAAGTGTTGCCATGTCTATAGAAACATTTGCATTTTACGAACAAAACTACCTACAGGAGAGATATATCTATGTGAAAAAAATCTTAATCAATTACGTTTTATTATTTCACCTTACACATTAAAACAGTTATGTTTTTTATGTTATTATATTGATCTCTCGTGCCGGGCGGGTGTAAAAGCATGAATCACTTTATATTTTCCGTTAGACATATAAAACATCTTTGTCTTCCTTGAAATTAAATTCGATTTGCAAGCTGAAATGGATTAATTAAGTAACGACTTGAATCGATGCAATGGCAGACCGAATTTTTCTCTGACTTATGTGTCCATATTTCACCCTTCCCATATTTTATTTTCCTCATTTTTACCTTTTTTTTTTTTTTTTTTTTTAACACGGAGTTTTAAAAGAAACAATAAAATAAATATAAAAAATCCAAATTATAAAAAGGAAATATGAAATTTTAAAAATAAACAGTAAGAGACAGATAATTCGGTGTAGATGCAATGGGTAACGGTGATACTATATATTTATCTCTGACTTGTTGTACGTGGTTTACAACTTCTATACGGGTTATGTTTTTCTCAAATATTTTATGATGGTATAATACTAAACCCCTAACGAGAGGGATTGTATTTGATATTCATATGATGAAGACATAATCTTTCAATCATTTTAATTGAGGTCTGGAGCTGGCATGTCAGTAACTGCTAGTAGTCCTTTGTTAATTTATGTATCATTGTCATTTTGTTTAGTTTCTTTTGTAACCTATTCTGACATCGGACTCGGACTTCCTTTGAACTGAGTTTTACTGTGCGTATTGTTGTGTGTTTGTTTTTTCTACATTGGCTAGAGGTATAGGGGGAGGGTTGAGATCTCAAAAACATGTTTAACCACGCCGCATTTTTGCGCCTGTTCCAAGTCAGGAGCCTCTGGCCTTTGTTAGTCTTGTAAGTTTTTTAATTTTAGTTTCTTGTTTATATTTCGGAGTTTAGTATGACGTCCATTATCACTGAACTAGTATACATGTTTGTTTAGGGGCCAACTTAAGCACTGCTCTTTGGTCGGGTTGTTGTCTCTTTGACACATTCCCCATTTCCATTTTCAATTTTATTCTGCATTTATTAGGAAAATAGTGATAATTATATTCATACGTTCAATGTTTATCCGTATTGCATTTTCAGGTGTTTATTCAACGTAACACGCTTTGTTGATGGTGCCAAATTGAATCTTGTTGGTTCCACGTGGTTTCAAGCAACAACTGATGAATACATCCGGTATACGTATGTTAACAGAGGACAGGATCCTGATAGTGTATGCAACAATATAAATGGTTACGCTAATCCATGTCCCGTTGGTATGCAGTTATTATCAAGTCTAATGTATTTTCAATTCTTATATTACTGACCGCATTTTAATGAAAAATAAAAAATTAAAAAAACACAACGTGTCCTATCAAATTCAATAACTATCTGTCCTTGAATTTGAAAGGAATTTTCTTATAAAAAAAATAAATACACTTAACGACACTTTTTATATGTAGACGAAACGCGCTTCTGGTGTATTAAATTATAATCCTGGTACCTTTTGATAACTATTTTTGATAGTATAATCTTTTAATTCAATAACTAACTGTCCTTGATTTAAAAAAAAATTAAATACACTTAACGACACTTAAGTTTTTGATAGAAATTTCAAGTTTCAGATGTTTCTGTTGTATATTGAATGATACATGGTAAAATAAAAGAAAACCCGATCTCAAGATGTCGCGTGTTCGGCGGAGTATTATAGTCTTTGACTGAACCCACGACCTTGGAGCGGTTGGATATATATGATGTCAAAATTTAAATCGTATCAACCTAGCCGTTTAAGGAAACAAAATTGGTCAAAAATAAAAAAAATAAATCATCACCAGAAATATATACCGTTATCATTTACTTTAGAATAAGAATTGACACGGATTTTTTTTCACGTGTAACAGCACTGGTTGGTTAAATAGGAAAAAATGTTCCTCGGACTCCTAAAATATATTTACAAAATTGTGTACAAAGTTTCTCTAACACATTGGCATCTGTATACAGATGCATTATTATTGTTTGCCTTTGTGAATTTATATACAATCTTCTATTGTTTATCTTCAGCATTATCGAATGACTGCTCACCTGCTAATATAAAGAACGGTCTTCAGTTTTGTTTGGATGGTATATGGAACAAGGCTAACGACAAGAATGCATTCTGGTTTGGCAATAATTGGCAGAGTATTTGTGGATTAAATCCATTTGCCGCACCTTTCTGTACCGTCATAAAACAGCCGTATACACCACACAGTCTACTTAACACAATGTATGGATTAAACTGGAATTTGACTGTGAATCCACTGAAGCAATACCTATATATAACGTATCAAACACCGACAGGTAGGTAGTAAATTTTTATTGTACTGAACACTTTATTTCATTGGAATAATAACAGTTCGGTTCCAATTCCCGAAACACCATGAAACGTTCACATAATTAAAAACAACATACAAACAAAATACAAATGGAAAAAAGGAAGGTTCCAACGTTCGCATGATTTGAAAAAAAGAAATGCAAAATCGAAAAAGAGGGGGGGGGTGCTTCCTATGAACCCCTGGAACACCCCCTGGATCCAACAATGAATAATGTCATGTATCACATCTTTGTAAGAGAGATTTTCACATTCATACACCGGAAGCTATACTGCTCAAACAATTGACAATTTAATTCTTCATTTATAAAAATTGATTGCACGACTTGGAAAACATTTGCATTAAATCATGATTTTTATCAAATAAGCAAAAACACCTTTGGGCAATTGAGCATGTAGTTTGATATAACTTAAGTTAACAGTAAGTTTAATGCCATTTACATGTTAAGTAAAAAAAAATGTAACATTTCAGGGTCATACCCAAGCTGTGGAAATACATACAAGGTGACAGAATCAAAGACGTTCGAACTACAACCTTTACTATCCAAAAACACTCGCCCATGGGATGTACAGACTTTTCCAACAATAACTTGGACGGCTTTACCGAATAAATTGTATACATTGTTCATTTTTGACGCTGGCGCCTATATAAATCATGGAGTTTTTATCAATATAAATCAAAATGATATACAAAATGCGGAGGTAATTATTTTTTATTATATATATATGGTGTATTTTTATACATTTAAAACCACTAATTATAATTGTGAACGAGAACTAAAATGTCAACAGTAAAATGAATATATAGACAGTATATACTAGTATATATATATTTCTAAAATACATGTAGACATTAAGAGATCTCAACATTAGCTTCAACAACGACCGACTAGCGTCAAAACATTTAAGCAAACCCCATCTGGTCCTAAAGTTATGAGTAGTGTCAACAGAGACAATATTAAACGACGATATAACACTAGCACACAACATCAACTGCAGCGCACAAATATCAAGGAACAACATTTGATAACGTTCCTGATAAAGTAAGCATGATCAAGTTTTCCGATTCGGCAATCCCTTTTTTTATCTAAGAAAAACATCGTCTTGTACCATTCCTCAACTTAAATTTACAAAGAGACTTTTGACACTAAGCATAACGCATTATACACATTAACAAATATACCTATATATTATACAATATGTTTAGCTGCGAATTATCTTCCCGAGTCGAATGAAAGGATGTAAATGAATTCAACAGAGACTTACATGTATCTAAGTGTATATGCGACATATCATGAAACCAATTAATCTCCCCGAGTGGAAACAAAAGTTGCAAAAAAATGTTTCTAAAGATGTCTCAAAGATCCTCCATCAACATTAAAATCTCCAAATCGCAAAAACACTATAACAAAATGTTACCTCCAACGTTCTGCTATATTTGGTTACTGGAAAATATAAAAAGAGGATGTGATATGATTGCCAATGAGACAACTTTCCGCATCGTCAGCTATAAAAGGCCTCTTAATGACAAACGAAAAACAATTCAAACGAGAAAACTAACAGCCTAATTTATGTACAAATTAATGAACGAAAAACAAATATGTTACACAGCAACAAACGACAACCACTGAATTACAGGCTCCTGACTTGTGACAGACACATAGAGAATGTGGCGGGGTTAAACTCGTTTGAATGCGCCAACCCTCCCCTAACCTGGGACAGTGGTATAACAGTACAACAACAACATAAGAACAAACTTTAAACATCAGTTGAAAAAGGCTTAACTCATCAGATGGATACAAATAGAAATACATCTAACAAAAACACAGAGTGGTCGTGGACGGGTACTTATACATCCCATAACAAAAAGACACTAAGTACAGATCTGAGAGTACTCGCAGTTACTGACAGCTGGTTCAAAGCCAATAACAACTCATAAAAAAAATCATGCATCTAAGACTTAAATATCAATCAGTACACATCCAACATTAAGTCTTATTCTAAACAGAGAAAAAAAATTGTAACAGATCGACTACTCAAATTCAACTTGAAATCAACTATTGTACAAAATAATAATAGATATTTACAAAAAGTTTGCTGTAAATGTTTAGTATAAAAATAAAGTCTTCTTTTTCTAAAGGTCATATATTGTATACACATTGTGCATTTCATTTATAGGAACAAATTTAAACGTCAAACACAAAAGGCCTATAGAATTTTCTCTATTTCTGTGGGCATTTAAACTGGATCTGGTCAGTTTGTTACATTTGATAAACCATAGACGTTCGAACTAAGGATTGATAAACCAAACGTTGATAAGATTTGTGTTGTGTAATTTCCCACCGCATCCATTCGTAACATTGCACGCAGCGTTTTTCTTTAAATCATGAGAAAATCAGATTCTACCACTTTGAACAATTACGTACACCGCATAGATAAATATATTACAACCAACGGGGTTGTATGTATACATAAAAAATGTCAAAGTAAGATGGTTGTGGATGGAACAGTTGTGAAATTGTTAGTTTATCATGAAATTGTAAAAATGTCAAGATTTCATTGGCAGATTTATAAACAATTATCTCATTAAGTGTATCAATAGATTGTACAAGTACAAATAAAGTACCATAAATGTTCAAATCTATTTAAACCCGGCAAATAAAGTAGCGTTGGGCGTATTCGATGGTCACTTATAAAAACTTGTGAATCAAGCATGATTAAGATGCAACTTTATTATATTAAAAGGACAAGTGGTTTGAGTCAATAAGAAAACAATAACACAAAACCGTAACACAAATAGACAGTAAGGCCTCCACGAATCCCTTAAGGATGTTGGCTCCTCTGCTTCAAAATAACAAGCCCTCTAAAAAAAACTGTTATAAATTGAAAGTAATATCATATAAATAACAAAACTAAAAAAGTAAAAAAGAAATAAAGGTCCGTGTCCTTGTTTTTCGAGATATAATCAATTGAAAATTTGGCTGGAATTGATTCTCTTTAGATTTTTCACGCATTTAACATTGGCACATGTTTTCTTCAAAAACTAAAAAAAGTAACAAGGATTTTATATGATTTTTCAAAAATGGATTTTTTTAACTATAGGTTATAAAATGATGAAATGAAAAGTAGGGGTTATAATGGGCAAAATTTTAATTGGTACTACATGAATAAAACAAGAGGATTCTGAATATCTGACTACTTGATATTAAGTAACTGAGCCTCGGGTCAAATTTATCATGTTTGTGGCAGTAGCATATAAGAAAGCAGTCCGTGAAATCTCAGGATATAAAAGCTTAGTTACCAAGTGTCTTTATTAAAATTTAAGGTAATTGGTATGACCATATATGTTGTTTGTCATATTTTGTATTTGATAGGTTGTTACAAAAATCGATATTTTTAGTTACATTATGTAAATAGCTATTTCGCTTTGTACACTTGATTATTTAACAGTAAGTTCGTCACTAAAGATTACGCATCTGAGCAGTTAAAAGTCCCTTTTTACAATCTTTGTATAAGTTTTAGTTTTTTAATGTTATTTTTTAAATTATGAATTACAAATATTAATAGTTAGAGACGTGGGGTATATATGCGGGTGTGGATTGGGTTTACAAAATAGAAATAATGAACAAAAAGTGCAGAATAGAGGGCAAACAATATAAAGAAAAGAGAAAGATAGGCAAAGACAAATAAAGAATAGAGAATAATGGGGTGTTAAAATATAAAGAAAAGAGAAAGATAGGCAAAGACAAATAAAGAATAGAGAATAATGGGGTGTTAAAATATAAAGAAAAGAGAATACTGGGCAAAATTTTAAACTTATAAAGAATAGAGAAAAACGGCTGAAAAAATACAGAATTGAAGGCCCCCCAACCTGACCGTCATATATACGTCTGTGACACAACAACCAAACGACACAAACACACACACAAATCCAAAGACACCTACATTTGCACATCAGGTCAATTTACGGACAAAATTAATAGTTCGTCACAGTAGACTTGATCGATTCATGATTTCGGATACAACACAGAAATAATCAAATGAGTATAAGTTTAAAATTAGGTGGATGATATAACAGAACTGTCAATTGTTGTTCCCTTGGATTTATACGCTAATAAGCTTTTCAAGTTTTCTAAAAGTTTGGTGCATGTACAAAGCGCACAATGTACCTAAATTATTCTAGAGACACGTGTTGTTGGCACGAAAATCAAAACATTTCTTTTTTTACCAATACCTATGAGATAAAAACTGCCTCGGATGCGGAAGGTCGTAGGCTCGAACTCCGACCGGATCAAAACAAAATGTGTTACTTATATTTGCTGCATTTCCGGTAAGCACACTCGACGTTAAACAGCTATCCATCCATCTTTGAGATAAAAAAAATCTCCATTACTTTTCCCTTTTTTAACATAACTTGTTTTTTTATTTTTAGGTTATCAAACCTTACAGCAACCCTAAAAATCCAACAATAAGAGAACAACCTTACGTGTTCTTGTTATTCGAACAAGCAGATCGAATTGTTTTAACCGACGAATGGCATCAAAAACTGAACCAGTCAATGGTAACAGAGGCCTTCAATTATACAGACGTATTTCAGGAGCTTAATCTAACAGGCATGCAACTTTCATGGTTTTTGTTCGTTCCTTTGTCTGTCTGCTCTGTGTCATCGGGACTGTTTAATGACCCTCTCAAACTAATAGATACTGTCGAAATCCCAAAGTTCACAATTGTGTATGGTTATTATATCAGGCTATATATATTAAAGGGTTTCAGCTGAAAGGTATAGATGTAAATAAAGAGATTGTAAGTTTCTCGTGAACTAGTTTCACTCGTGGGGTCAAAATAGGAAACTTAATGAAATAAATTTCAATTACCATTTCAAAGACTACAAGTAAAATATTTTGTATGCCTTTTTTACCCGCGAAAATTTCTTTACACTTTTGTACACATTTTATTTCTGATTTTTGTGTTTTTCATTTTCAAAATCCCCCTGCCCCCCCCCCCTTCCCCTTACGAAAATCAAATGGTCATCCCCTTACAACACAAACAATGCATAATAAAAGGGTCATTTATTCGTAATTTATAATGTGATGTCCCAGAAAAGAAGGTATTTTGTATATATAGTAATATCCCAACTATTTCAGGCCCTCGTTTTACAAAAAACATTACGACTAAAATTGAATGCATTGCATGAACACATCAGTATAACTACAATAAAGTTTAGTTGTAAGAATTTTTTCAAACGTAGGCCAGACTCCTCAGTCAAATAATAGATTTCATACAATATTACATTTATTGGAACAGGACCCATAGCGATGAATTGGTTACAAGCTGTTGGAGATCCCTATTCTATACAGTTTTGGGTCAATATTAATTTAATTAACAACTGTCCTAATATGGTGACTGAAGGTAAGTATACATATATGTAAAAAAAATACACTGTATAAATATATTCTCTCAAAGCTGTTTTCTGGGTTTACCTCCATCAGGCATTTGAAAAGTTCAAGTAAATTTGATGACGACAGTGTTGAAGGCCGTACGGTGACCTATAGTTGTTAACTTCTATGTCATTTGGTCTCTGGTGGAGAGATGTCTCATTTGCAATCATACAACATCATCTTTTTTATAATTAATTGTTTATATGTTGATATACATGGCATGTACCCGACGGATAGCAGATTGAGCAATATAGCATAGATGGTCGAGTAGTTTGGGGCGATGGACAAGGTGCAGGCGGTGTTGCCACGATGTCACAGAAGCATGCGTTCGAATCCCGCTGAGGGAATAACAAACATTTCCTAACGTAAATTTGAAGATCTAACATTGTTGAGCTAAATTTGAGACGAATTAAGAAATAATCTACGGCTGCCATGAATTATTTCAATTCTAATAGGACAAATTCGGTAATTTTGTTAACCGTGAAAGCCCTATACATACGATATTGTTTTGGCTGTTCCGTTTTACCCAATTTTGATAATATAAGTAATATCATATAATTCAATGATTATTTTTTTTTAATCGCATTTTTCACTTATATATTTTCTTCCAATGTAATTTTATTCGTTCTGAGGCGTACAAGAAGCTTTAAAACGCCTGGTATTTACATTTGATTTTTTGTTTACGAAAACATACTTGTGACGTCACCTTGTTTCGTTGCAATGCCAAGACAATAACATCATTTCGCGGAATTTTCGTTTTACGAAATTTTACCATGAAAAATAAATTGAAATGGACTGATTTGTTTATTTTGCTGTAGAATAGAGATAAATATATTGTATCTGAATCTTGGCCTACGTAAACTTGGGGTTTTGATGTAGAAAATTGAGAATATCTGGTAGTATAAATAAGTTGGTCGTAACGCGGAACAGCCGTTTTTGTGTATTACTGCGTTTGCGCTAAAGGTAGATATATTGTGATTATACTGGTTGACGATAATAGGACGTCATATTAGAATTATCAATATCTCTGACTTTTTCATATAAAAAGCATATACTTTACTTTTTTTTTCTCACAAAACTCAAATGAAATAACATAGTGTTTGACAAGGTTAGCAATCCTGACAATTGTCCTGTTTTTTTGTATTATACATATAAAGTACAAAAACTGTTTTTTGTTTATTTCTTGTTAGTATATTTTGTATAATCTACTATGCAACAAAATCACAGTTATATTACAATGTATACGGCTTATATAGGGTAACCTAAGCTTTCCTTATTGATTAAACTAACGATAGAGTAGGTAATATTTCAATGAGAGAATTGCTTTTCATAAATAATTTCGAAATATAGAAATTAAAATTAGGGGGTCACGGGCCGCATTTTATTGAAAAATCCAAAAAAACACAAATTGTCCTTTCACATTAAATAATAATCTGTCCTTGATTTTGAAAGGATTTCAAAAATTTTTAAATACACTTAACGACATTTATTTTTCTTATAGTTTAATCATTAAACTTCAAGTTTCGGATGTTTCTGTTGTATATTGAATGATACATGGCAAAATATTATTAAATAAAAAAATATTTATGCATCATGCATAGAAAGGATGCTCAGAAAAAGACACCCGATCTGCCTTAAACGTGCAAAGGTAACTGCCCAAAAAAAGACATATCGCATAAACAAATTCTTATCTCCGACACAAAGCCGATGCTTATTTGCACTTACTAAAAAATGTCGCGTGTTCGGCGGAGTATTATAGTCTTTGACTGAACCCACGACCTTGGAGCAGTTGAATATATATGATGTCAAAATTTGAATGGTAACAACATAACCGTTAAAGGAAACAAAATTGGTCCAAACTTAAAAAAAAAATAATCATCACCAGAAATATATACCGTTATCATTTATTTTGGTATAAGAATTGACAAGGAATTTGTTACACGTGTAACAGCAATGGTAGATAAAAAAGGGGAAAAAACGTATATCAGAACATTTATGGAATATTGATATGACTCGAAAGTTGTAATTTAGGTAGCATTTACCGTTGGAATTTCATTTGCAACGTTGAGTAGAGTCATTGTGGAAGAGTTTTGATCAAAATAAATCTCATCTTTTCTCGATAATAAGTACATATAGTAGGAAGATCTATAACATATATTATATTACCATTAAAAAAAGGAGATGTTAAGTTTATGTCAAGGAGACAGCAACCCAATTAAAACTTCCAAAGACCTCAAGAAAGATAAATGTATCCTTAAAATTCATCAAAGAAACCTTTATCACCCATGTTATGTAACATGCTGTTTTCAGTGTAATAAATTGCATTTTCTCTCTTAGATTTTAACCATTCTATAATGTTTCAGCTTTGAAAAAGAAGAATATAAGTTTTATACCAGATGATGTTGACTTGTCCATGTCATTATACATCAATCTTCACACGACAGATTTAAATTTTGAATCGTGTTGCACTAGTTATAGATATCAGTAAGTACATACATGTATATCAAAGGTCTAAGAGGACCATCCCTTTCCAATATATAACGTTACAATCAAATAAACCATCATGGCGTCCTGTAATGCTTAAAAGATGAATTTTATAATATGTTCAACTAGTACTAGTACATGTAAAAAAATACATGATAAAAATAAAAAACAACACTTTAGTAGTCATTTGAGATCTTTTCTTTCTTGAACTAATAGCTTTTTGATATTATTCTGTGTTTATATTTATTGTCACATGTTAAGATATTCTGTAATACTGAAACAATGAAATAAATCGTGTATCTCTCTTTTTTGTATCTTTTGATCTTCAGAAACGGATCGAGATAGAATAAAAAGGGAGAGAAGAAAGTTCTCCTAAAACTTGTCTGAAAATAAACTTCATCAAAGATACCATGCATTTAATTTGGAACGTCAAACGCGCGTTTCGTCTTAAGTAAGGAATGACTTCAAAGACTTAATTTTTCAATCTGATTTATTTGTATTCATATTTCCTATTTGGTATCAGAAAAGTGGTGGTTTCTGTTGAAATAATTGACAAATTTCTACGCTAATCAGAGCAGGTTAAATGCTGTATTTTTGTTGATGAAATCCTCATTTGATCTCAATATCACAAACTAGCTTTATTCCTGTTGTTTTGTTGTGGTTACATATCTGTTTACCCCGTAGTCTTTTATTTACTCAGCATTACGATTTAAACATGTCAGTCATGTACAGGACAAAAGAACACTAGAAATTTGTATGCAGACAGATAATTAAATGTACATAACAAACTAAAATAATGAACCTGTATATGATTTCTCATAGGCAAATTGTAACAAAATACACAGGATATGGTAAACAAAAAAAAACGTTACACCTCCAAAATGAAATTAGTTGAATATTCAAAATTGCCTGACATTTTATTATTTAAGGGAGCATACCGCAAAACTGAATCCCATTGGAGATGGCTATATTAGTCCAGCTCACGCGAGAAGTGAGGCATCATTAACTATGACACTTCAGAGAGAGGGCTTACTCTACATACCATCATGGAAAACGGGTACAATTTTAATTGGTTAAAATATTTTAAAAGAATTTTAATTGCTACATAACTTACAGCAAAGTGAAATATTCATCAAAATATTTGTTTACAATATCGTCGTTCAACTGCTTTTTCTATAATAATTTGATGATTATTTTTTATCTGACAACTTTCCAATAAAACGTTTGTTTTGCAAGCTAGCCAGTGTAATTTAACCTTTTTTTGACAGTTTTATTGTCTCCGATTTTTTGGAGTCGTTAAAAATTATAAAGGTCAAACTTTTTATTCGTTGAAAGATCAACATCATACAACAATATACGAGTATACTGAACGGCTCTATTTGCACACTGATAGATTAACTTGTAGTCAATACAATTTTTCTAGTAACATTTAGCCATTGTGTGATTACGTTTTATGATATGTTGTATGAATAGTATCCATTGAAGAGGGTCTGGATTGGGTGTCGTTTATTTCTGTATTCTTTAATTTTGTATGCCATTTTCTCTATTCTTTATACTTTTTGCTTATTTTTCTCTATTCTATATATTTTAGCACCACATTATTCTCTACTCTTAATTTTTTGGTCAGTTTTTCTTTATTCTTTATATTTTTTTGCCTATTATTCTCTATTATGTAAACCCCATCCACTCCCTCATTCAATAACAAGAATAAGGAATCAGACTTTACAAAACTTAACAAATAAGCTTACGAAAGCCTCATACTTAAAAGTAAAATTGTAATGAATTGTAAGGTATTTTTTAAAGTGACATAATAAATCAAGCGTAGACACTTGTAAAAGTAAACATTGATTTAACCCAACCTTTAATTTCAATACCATTCAATAATTATTTCAATTTCTGTACATTATACGAACACAGTCGTACAACGATCTTAATCCTATAAAAAAGAGAAGTTGTGTTGTATATCAATAAAATAGCGATCCAATTATAAAAAAAGCCGTATGACATCTGAACGGTAACATACAGTCTTCCAAAACAAACAGATATACACTTATCATACATGTATACGATGAATCTTTACTGTGTACACTGTCAGCGTATTGGCATATATGCACGTGTATTAGATTAAATCTAGAAAAAGAAACAAAATTAGATAGAAAGGGTAACAAGGGTGAAATAAAAAAAAAACGTAATCGAACAAAAAGAGACGACATAATGGCTTCATAGAAAAACGACAACAAGACAAAAACCATTTCACAGAGAATTCCAAAGATTACTACATCATATCATGAACATATTTAGAAACTGGTGCTTACATAACATAATTTACTGGGTTTTTTATGATTTTTTCAAGCAAAAAAAAAATTAACAGAGTCAAAATTATGTTTCAGATATTCGTTATACATTGCTATGTGTCGACATATCTGTTCCATCCCCAGCAGCTGGAACTCCTGACTTACCTCTACTGCACATGCTCGTTACTAATATCAACGGAAGTGACGTTCAATCTGGAGATATCATCCGAACATACCTAGGTCCAGCACCTCCTGATTATGTAAACCACACCTACATCTTTTTGTTATATACACAGAGTTCAATGCTCAAAGAAAACGAAACTAAATCATATTTAACACAAGGTTGTTCGTCTGGAATAGATGGTCGGTAAGAATTATTTTTAAACTCTATAGAAAAGAGAATATGAAGTTATAGTACATGCATAATAAAGAGCTGTAAATAGCTTATATGGGTTTGCTAGCAACATCACAGTATATAAAGGAAACAAGTCACGGGAAACCCGATTTGTTGTTCCGTTTATCAAACAAGCTTATAGCAAGCCAAAATTTGATTCTATTCTTACATTTACGTTAGCTTTTTGCAGCAGTGTCGTCAACAATATACAAGTTTGTGATTAGGTCAGTTTATAGAGAACCACTAGTGGTAGGTCAATTAAACATTTGGTATGCAGTTGAATTAGTATTTGAACACCTCATTTCCATAGAGATCATTTGTCCCGCACCTAGTTATAATTTATTGATTTTTGCTTAGTTTACATGTTAAAGTGTATGATAAGGTTAGTTAAAGGGGGACCATTTATGATAAGTCAATGGTGTTTGGCATACAGGTGTATTAGCATTATTATATGTCAATTTCCATCGAGATTATACAGCTGTGATCCTTTAGTTATTGTTCATTGACTTTGAACGTCTACATGTTAAAGTGTGTGTATCATGGTCATTTTGAGGGGAACCACTTATGAAAGGTCAACAATACTTGGTATTTTTTATTTGTATGAGCATCGCCATTCATGTATCTCATTACAACAGAGATTATTTGGCCCTTCACCTTCAGTCATGGTTCACTTAGTTTGAATATGATGTATAGAATGAAGTGTTGCCATTTTGATATAAACACTCGCACTTCACTTACGAAAACTAGCAACTGGAGAAATATGTCTCTGTGTCAACAATTTTTAATAACTACGTTTTATTCAATCACCTTACACATTAAAACAGTTATGTTTATTGTGTGTTATTTATTTACATTGATCTCTGGTGTGAAAGCATGAATCCATCAAAGTATAAAAACATGTGTATCTTCTTTGAAATTAAATTTGATTCTCAAGCTGACATGATTTGATTAAATAACGACTTTAAAATACGATGCAATGGGTAAAACTATATATTTATCATCGACGTCATTAACAAATTCTGCATTTATTAAGAATAAAGAATTATCATTATCATACGTTCAATGTTAACCTGTTTTGTACTTTTCAGGTGTTTATTCAACGTAACACGCTTTGTTGATGGTTCCAAATTGAATCTTGTTGGTTCCACGTGGTTTCAAGCAACAACTGATGAATACATCCGGTATACATATGTTAATAGAGGACAGGATCCGGACAGTGTATGCAACAATATAAATGGTTACGGTAATCCATGTCCCGTTGGTTCCACGGTTATTATCAAGTCTAGTATGTTTTCCGTTCTTTTATTGTGCATACTGGCTTACATTTCATTCACTAAATGAATTTAACAATGAAAACCACGGACCAATATAATCCGGAAGTAAAAGAAAAATACGTACCAGAAATCTTCAATTATATCATGTTTGCAAATTTACACATTTCTATCGTGCGCAAATTCTTTGAATAATGAGATAATATTGAATAGAAAATCATTATAAATGCAATAACTACTTACCATTAATGAATTTATCTTACAAGCCATGAGGGCAACCATGCTTGATCGATAAATTCTACTTTAGGTTTGAATTTATTATCAAAATAAATGACGGACAAAAATCCGGTTTTTGTTCTTCATTTTGTTTTTTCTTTTGATCATTTAAGTGTCACCAACTACTGTATGTATAATTATGTAAATGTGCTCGTAGAAATACTTTGTAAAATTCAACTAATACAAAATATAAATGTATGATATTTTTGCTAATTAAATCCCCTGGTTTCATTAGCAATTAACAACACAGGGAGGAACCTTTGCGTCATTGTTGTTGCGCTAAGGGACATTGTACACAACTATTAGTGCAATAAATTATTTGAAGTTGGTAAAAATATACAAACCAATATTATCCGGAAATAAAATTTAGATGACCTCTTGTTTGTATATAAAGGATGTCTCTTGCAATGGAACAATTCATCTACGCATAGAAAGCTAAAATTGTTAAAGAGAAACATATACTATTTCTGAGAACTCTTTGAACACTTGTTGCTATATGTGTGCTATGTGTCACCGTTATCTTATATGTATAATTAAAATGTTTGATATGTCATTCATCAATCGTTTATTTCATTCATTCCACTTTCTGTTTCATCATACTCATTATGACGTTTGACTAAGACTGACAACAGTTCAAATGCACGTCACTGCACAATTTCAGATACACGCCACAACACACATGGATGCTTCAGCTAAAATAAACAAAAATATTGCACCCACGCGGGAAAATAAATGCACGCCTTATATGTATATATGGTTTTAGTATTTCATTAACTGCTTAACCACCTTTTTTCGTGGATGCTTAAACACTGACTAAATATTTACAGGTATGTTAATTTTTTTATTTGATATAGTCTAATTTACAGTTTCCCGATAAAATTTCATTTAGTAAAAGTAATATGAAAATATATGATAGTTGTATCGTCAAATTCTATAAGCAAATTTGATTCGGTTTTTCCGTACTTTTTATATAGATTTTTAGTCTAATTCGAAATTAAACTTCAGCTATAAATTGTTATATTGGCATTATTAGATCACGTCGTACTTTTGTAGCGCTTTGACGAATTTATTAGTCCGTCAGTTTTTGTTCTCTATTTAGCTTATACTTATGTTATGAAATAATGTATTTGTTTTCATTATTATTTACAGTTGAACATGAATAATGAAAACATCGGATATATGTTCTATCGGAGTATTGTTTGATGAAATACGCCTTCGTTTATACATATTCCACAAGACTTACGTGAACTTACGTGACGTCACATGCAGATTATGAACATAAATACTGCTTTCTAATATCATTGCCAATAGAATATTCAATACGTTATCATGATACTTTGTAAAGTTTCTAAATATTCTGTAACAAAGAAGGATAAAATTGTCTAAGTGTAACATAAACAAATGATAAAGAAGTGCTTGTTTTTTATCCTGCAATTGGGTGTCTTACTATACAGATACAGCCCAAAAGATATCGTTATGCTGTATCTGTATACTATACAGATATCGCTTTAAAGCTCCGCCCACTGCCGGACTACGTTTGTGTATTGCTGTTGACGAGTGTTGTATGAACCTGCGTGACCCCAGAATGTGTATTGCAGTCGCATTCCAATGACGTATTGTTTGACCTTATGCGAACTAACGATCACTTTTATACGTTCTGTTTGTTTTCAAACATATGTTTAAAGCAATAGGAATTAAACGAATTTTCTGATAACAGACAAACATGAACAGCAGTATTTTCTACGACGACAATCATCGATTTCAAAACTTGAATGTGTGCATGTGTAACAAAATCAACCATGTCAATTTCAGCATGCATGTTAAGTGAATGTCAAGTTCAGTTCAAAATTCTGAAGCGTAGGACAACTCGTACACTTCTGTTTCAAATTGTACAATGTTTTGTTATTTGTTTTTACTGTTGAAATTAGTTTTTATGTTAAAATAGATAATTATTCACTTTGAGCGATGTATTATTGTTGACCATTCGAGATTCTTTTTTTGCGAACCCGTCTCCAGCTGAATGTGTGATTTTAATATTACTACGCGGGCCTCAAGGGATTTTAAATCGAAAATAAATGCAAAAAATGTGAGTTTTTGTGTCTTTCAAAGCACAAACAATATACAGAATTAATTACAGGATAAAGACAATAACTGTTTTTCTTAGCCTCGTACAAATACAGCTGATATTTAAAGACACTAAACAGTTATTGGTGGGGTTCGTGTTGCTTAGTCTTTAGTTTTCTATGTTGTGTCATCTGTACTATTATTTGTCTGTTTGTTTTTTTATTTTGGCCATGACGTTGTCAGTTTGTTTTCGATCTATGAGTTTGACTGTCCCTCTGGTATCTTTCGTCCCTCTTTTTATTGTCTATATAATTCACTGATTGTATACTTTTAACAGGTTTAAACATGTCTATCGGTTTTTTGTTGTCGTTAAATTGTTTTGTTATGAATTAGGCTGTTATTTTTCTCGTTCACATTTTTCATGCACGGGTCTTTTGTATCCGACTGTGCGGTATAGGTTTTTCTTATTGTTAAGGGTCATACGGTTGTCTATAATTGCTCACATTCACCTCATTTGAACTGTGTAGGTATTTGTCAAATTGGCAATCATTCCACAACTCTTTTTTTTATATTAGAGTTTATAAGGGATATGATTATAAAACAAAACATCATAGACATAAAAGACAAACAGATTTAAATCAAAATTTGTTCTATTGCATAATATTTGCAACTATACAATGTATGTAGCAATAGATAATTAGATATTAAGAAATTGTGATTAAACGAATATAAGAGAATTTATGAGAAGACGTGGATTGGTAAACGATAATCAAAGCGCGACGTTACTTTTATGTTGATTATCGTTTCCGAATCGACTTTGATATTTGGAAGAGCGACCATCTGTTTTAGATGATGGTGACGGTGACAGCGTGTTAACCATAAATCAAGGGAATTACATAAAGATCGTTTCAGATTTTGTCTTTGTTATTTTTTATAGTTGGAAATGATTGTTTAAACACGATTCACATCTGACAGAATGTTAATTATATCAGAGAGTATATTCAATCATAGCTATTAGAAATTTTGTATGACCAAGTTTCGGGAAATATCATATAAATAACACATAGCTGAGAGGATGATGCCGTGCAGGGTAATAGAGTATTTGCCATGGGTTAAATAAATTATCTACCTCGTATTAACCAACCAAAATCTGGCATTTTGACATGAAGTATTATAAAAGCTAATATACAACCAAAATTATTCTTGAAACTGAAAATTTAATTGTGTTTTAGTTTTTTGATGTATAGATATATTTAAGTTTTTTTTTCACATTTTGACGAATCCGCCAAGATCCGTACTTGTATAGATGTATATTTCGAATGTCAGACCGATAAATATAAACGAGACGGAGATCTAAGCTTGCACTCGGAATGGAAATTATTTTATCATTGCTTTCCTCGAAAAACAAATGTGTTTAAATCACAAACAGTACTTTATATTTCATTTTCATATAATGGCTATATATATTTATTACTTTAAACAGTCAAAGAAGCAGGTTAACCTAGTAAAAAGTTCTGAGATCTGAGAGTACTCGCAGTTACTGATAGCTAGTTCAAAGCTAATGACAAAAAAAAAGTCATACATCTTAGACTAAAATAGCAATCAGAACACATCCAACATCCAATGAATTTAGTTTAAAGACCTCATAAAAAGCCAGAGAAAAACATGACCTTGTGCAATGCAAATATACAGGTATTGACAAATTGAAGAGCCATAAATGTGCATTTTTATTTAAAAAAAATATTTAGTTTGATTTTAATTTACTGATAACAAAATAAATGTTTATTTCGACAACGAAAAACATAGATAAAGGAGCATCTGTCTGGAGACAAACAGTGAACAACAAAACTGAAACTTAAAATCGAGAGTGATGCCATATGCTCTATAAGGGCATCCATGTGCCATCAGTATTATAAATATTGCGTGTAAACACCAGTTAGAGAACGCAAAAGGCAAATGGAGATAATGGTAACCAAAGAGGCAATCCAAATTGTGAAGGACGTTTGACAGACAACACCATTGGCTGACAAACGAAAAGGAAAACAATACCAATCCGCCTCGGCAACTTTGTATTAACTCCAAGAGATCCTTGCATATTTGTCAGCGATACTTCCGAGGATACTTTTAACCATTTTGGTGACATGCATGACGTGCTCTGGAAAAGTAATCATGCGAGTCGTATTGCCAAATGCATAAGGTCAGTAAGTAATACAATTTGAACCGCACGCAATTAGGGAAAGAAGCGGTTGTTGTATGTGAAACGATAAATACTTTGTGAACAAGTGATATGATACCTTGTTTGATATCTTGCCTAAGCTGCCTTACACCTTATATCTCCAAGTGGTGAGCTTGAATTATTGGAGCTCGTTATACTTAAGCTTTGTGATACCTGATATGACTCACGGTGTTATGGGTTATGTGATACGCATTACTTAAGTTTTTTGATATCTGGTATATTCCGCCTTATGCTAAAGTATATTACCAGGGCTTCCATGTGTAATCTTTTTTGTATGGTTTTATAAGAGAGTCTAATATAAGGTTTATAACATCAGTAGGACCGTCCGGACTTGCGACATAATCTATCAGGCGGAAATCAAGTTGAAATTTAACAAAAGAAATGGAACTCTTCGTTGGAGAAAGTATAAAAGTCCAAGTTGGTAAATTTGAAATGCTTACATCTGTTTCTATGGGCTTTAAAAGTTTAATGAATGTGCCTAATTTAGGATTTTATGTGTCTTATGTATGTGTTTTTACTTAACTTATGGTAATGAGCTTCGAGAAATTTGTAAACTTTAAAATTATAGACAAATTTTCACAAAATAGTCGATTGTGGTAGGTGCAAATACATGTGGATCTGTTTTGTGCATAAGCATAGATTCCGCCGAAAAAAATTCCAAAAAAAGATAACAGATTGATCTTTTTAAAGCATTTATTTTTATCGCTGCCCTCGGCGACAGTTTTTTGGGGAAAAATCGCCAAAATTAGCAATAATTTCATCAAAAAGAGAAAGTCGAGGACACCGTTTTATGTTCAGGCGTGTTTGAGTTGACTATTCTGTCTTGAAAACGTATACATCATCTCGCTTCAGATTATATTTTTTTTTATATATTTAGGCTCTATGTTGATATAATAAGAATTTACAGTACTAAAATATGAAATATATGGATCAAGCGAAAAACCTTTCTAATGAGTCATAACAACAGAGTAGGTGTGTTCGAATAACAAATTTTTACTAAAAGTACTTGACGACAGACTTTTCAAGTGGATCTTAAAAATGCATAACTTTAAAAAAAACTTCATTTTTTTGTGTGTGTTATCTAGGGTAATTAGTCTTCATCCTCTGAAATGTTTTAGTCTACCCTTCCACGAAATATTTAATTAGAAGTTATTAAATATTTTTGAACTTTCGAAAATTCCCTCCACCTAAAAACCGATCAGACAATAGTTTTATGGTGACCAATTGCATAAAAGTACATTAAATGATGATCGGTATCTAGTAGATACATTTATCTTTTAAAATACAACAGGCATATAAGGATTGTAATGATACTATGTGGATAAATTCATCGGTTTTCAAGTGCTAAATTGACACCGCGTCATCACTACAATGGCTTCCATTTTTACGATTATAAAAATTAGGTGGCGTAATGGGGAGATAATTTTGACGAAGAAGAATCCTGACTGTTATACATTACCGTAAACTTAAGGCGGCATTAGTTTACCGATGGTCAAATCTCGTAAACGATTATGTACAGACAAATCAAGGTAACAATTAAACAGAAATCGAGAAAATTGCATGAACTCCAAAGGAGCGAGACCGGATGCGTCAACACAGTAAGGGTCTCCTGCTATGCGGCCATAAGCCGCTATGCGAATTCACACTTCGTCAAAATCGGGTTTATGACGTAACATTTATGTTTAATAGACAATGGAACGTGAATCAAATTTGGAGCATCACCCGTTTACAAGAACAGAATCTAAGTTATCCTCTATTGAATTAGGATCCGGGTTTCCTGCGAAAGCAACTGAAATCACCACCAGATTTTGGTGGACTTTTTGTTGCCAAGTCTTTAGTTTCCTATAGCTGTGAAGTGTTTTGTTGTCTTTTCTTCGTCGTTTGTTTTTTGCAATGACTTTGTTGACTTATGAATTTGAAAGAACCCTTGGTATGAAACGCTTATATTTAAATACTTATCTTTGCGTTAATACAAATACTTCAAACATATGGGAGATAAGTAAGATACTTTGTTGGAGTAAAATATATGTCACAATTTATAAATTTGCAACGCCGGAAAAGCTTTAAAGAGTTTTTGGACCGTTTTAATTCAATCATAGTAATTACACCATATTTAACTGAGCTCAAATTTCGGACAATTGACTTCGGACATTTAATAAATATAAAAAAATGCATAAAAAATGAATAAAAGATGAAAAACACTCTATAATTTTTTGTTGCGTCTGAAGCGCTTTTTCTGGAAGAGTCTTCATCTGGAACGATCAATCAAACGATTGAAAGCCAATGATGTTTAGTTGATAAAGACGTAAGCTATATGATGAACAGGGACATAAAAGGAATAGATAGATTTATCACAGGAGAATTTTGCCTGTTAAAGTTGGAACGTTATTGTCTTCATCATTACTATACTTGTCAAAGGAAAAAGTAAAAAAGAGTGTTTATCATTTACGAGATTTGAACATCAGTAAACTTCTGTCGCCTTAGCAAGTAATGTCAATACAGAAGCACTGATAGGAATATTATTCAATCACATTGTTTCGACCTACCTTAAATGGTACAATACATTTTGTCATTTATACAAATATAATATACCTGGTGCTTTGACGATACAGAAAACATATTTTTCTTTTGATTGGTTTTCTTTGTTTAAAACATGCCAAAAGAATAATTGTCATTGATGAAATATAAAATGTATAAAATTAATGTATAATTAATTGTATTTCGTTGTATTACAGGTAACGTTGATAATGTTCTCATGAAGTGTAACGGTATAACCTAGTGCAATCTTGTAGTATGTAACAAAAACTACTACACGAGACATAATAAACAACTATTAAACAAGTAACAACAAATAACATCACACTTATATGATTTATTTTATATAGTCAAATATTTCTGCTTTTTGTAAATATAAATTGTTGTTAATGTCAGAATGATGATTTTGCATGTCAAAGTTGTTGAATTGAGGTCAAATCGATACTGACAAATTAATATCACTAGGAGCAAAAGGGATCTTGAATATCACTAACAATATTATATAAATGCATAAAAGGTATTTGGATAATGTCTGTACATTTTATCAGAATATACTTAACTAAAGCAAACAATGTTTACATTCACGTGTATTTATTATGATACAGGGTATTTAATTATCCCTCTGGGACCCTTTCGTTTGACTGGCCGACTAGGTGGTACGATAAATCACAAAAATTCCCCTAAATTTACAGAAACAAGTTAAAACCCTTCGACAATGGTATAAATACACCTGCCAATGACCCTGCAATTTATTTTCATAAGGACAAAACCGATGTAAGTAAAATCTTAAAATTGTATCTTACACTATTGTTTAAAGCTATTCATGAAAATTTCTACGCAATAAATGTTTTTGCAGAGTTACGCTGTATGTAAATGTCTTATACGCACAACATGTATGATAATGCTGCCTCTTTCCACATAAAGATTCATAATTTCATCGTTTTGTTCAGGTCTAATATGTCGAAAAATACATTAACTGTAGGTACAGGTTTGCCAAAAATATGATAAGCGCATAAACAGCACCAGATGCACATTTCGAAAATTAATGCTCTTAGACCAAAATGTTGAAAATCCAACCCAAAATATAAACGTTGAAGAGCTTATAAAATTAAAAATGACCTAAAGTATAGTCAAATTCAGACAAGGAATAGCAAGGTCGGTGTTATATATTTTGCAATGACATACGCAAATTAATTAACTGGGGACATGCACCAATTGCAATGCAGACCTATACAAAACATCAAAATATTTATGATGAAAACTTCACTGGCGAAATGAAATCGTAGTTTAAATGTTTCCATTTTGGTCAAAAAAATTGTATTGACAGTTTTTATTTTTGCTAAAGCTAAGATTCCTTTGTTAGTCATATGATCATACAGCATAGCATGTGATTACAAATAAATATAAATGTTAAAAGATCATAGATGTCATACCAAAAGCCATTTTTAGACTTTAATTCCAGGATAACGAACAACACATAAACCATGACAAATTCTAAGGATTTAGCAATAAATCCTACTATAATATGAGAACAAGAGTTAAATCGAGGGCCCCAGAGAGCGGTTACTGTTTTTGTAGAATACATTAGTGAAGTACGTTGTGTTAAAGGGAATAAATATATTCGAGATATTTGTCTATCATTTTCAATCATATTAAATGAAGAAACCATAATAAACTTTAAATGCATGCGTGATGCCAAATATCATTAATGACGACACATAAGGTTAATCGTCAAACAATATTAACACTTTTTTTATCCATGTATAAATGATCCATTTCAGTCCATAATGAAGTTCTTCTTTTGTTTGTTTGCTGTAATGTTCATCGTTGGTGCCTGTATGCAGGGTGGGTATTAGTACTGACATTTTCTTTACATGACAAATTTATGGTAAAACTTATCTGAAATAGTAAACAGGATGCATCTATGAGTTCACTATACAAGTGTACGTCAATTATATAGGCTTATATATGACTGCTAGAATAAATGAGTAAAGGAGGGAGTCTTTATTTCTTAGACTTTAATTTGTAAGACATTTTTTTCTATTTTATATTTAGTACGCCCGTTTTTATATATAATTTATTTTTTAGTACCCCTTTGTTTTCTATTCGTTATGTTTATGACGTTTTTTTTTCTCTATTCTTTATTTTTTTTTTTGGCACATTTTCTCTTATCTTGACCCATAAAATCTATTCTGTGAACCCCATCCAGATCCTCATAAGTATGTTTTTCATTTCATATTAACAAGAATAAGTCAAGCAAAATGATTGTCAATGTTGAACAAATGACTTGCCATCGATAGCACGGAAGGAAACTATTGATATATGTTCGATATGATATAATGTCTTTCTATTATTCAATAATTAAGAGGTAACAGACACTTACTTTAGTGCATAATAAAATTGTTTCAAATACCAGTAGACTACAAGTTGCCGTGTTAAATACAAATTTAGAGCAACAACTCGACACCTCACGAATTGTGATGGACTGTAATTAAGATATAGGTCGATTACTGAAACAAATCAAATAATAGTGGATTTAACACCGAAATAGTGCGGAAATACATTGTTATGAGAGAAAGATGTATATGATTGTCAATGAGACAAATATCCACCAAAGACCAAAGCATAGCCGGATTTAGGGGGGGGGGGGAGTGTAGCCCCCCCCCCATTTTGTCGGAAAAATTTGGTTGATTATATAGGGAATCACTGAAGCATGATTGGAGCGGGCCCCCTCTCAGGCAGTCAGTGGGCCCCCACCTATGAAAATTTCTGGATCCGCCACTGCAAAGGACAAAGATATAGACAATGTTTACTGTATGCGTCATAAATAAAGAAGGAACCTAATGAGTCAATATTATGACGTAGATAAGAGATAAATCAAAATATTGTCGCGTAGATCGTGACAATAGCGCTACCATTTTAATGGGCCGAAAAGAGGCAAAACAGTTCCGAAAGAAAATGTAGTACAGAAAACGATTTTTTTTCAAATGTTAAATACTTGAAATATGATAGTGATGTGAAATATTTTTTTTGCTTTATATAGCTGCCTCTGCTCGTTATTGGAATAACAATCCTTGCTGGGTGAGTTAATTTAATACTTAGATAGACATGTGTATCAAATTTTATTAATATTTTATGAATTCGGCCTCCCAACGATGAACTTTGGCGTACCTATGAGGAATTGTCCGCGAATACTTGTCGAGTACACTAAAATCGGTATCCAACATCTCATTTCATTCATATGCTTTATATCAATATGATGCAACAGTGAGTTGTTAATGTGAAAGCAAAAATCAATTCAGTTATATAGACGATTGAACTTTGAAAAAAAACAGATCTGCACACACCTTATTTCTTATGTATTGTTCGAATAAATTGTGTGATAAAAATGTGTAATTGTTCATTACACTCTGCGGTAGCATTATATTGGAATATAGAAATGTTTACCCTTTTATTTATTTTAGGAACCATTCTGATAATGTTAAACGCGTATTTCCGTTTAGAATATCTAATGAAAAAAATATATCAATCATACGCTTCATTCTCCTTTACAACGAGTTATTTTACAACACATCTTTTTTTAATCTTTGTTCATTATCAGTAAGAGAATTAACATTAATATGGCAACAAACATATCTTGTTCACTGTCTTTTTGCAATTGTAGCCAAACCCATGTCCATATTGGAAAAAATGTATACCAAACAACTGGGGATGGAGACGTTATAAATGTGTTAGTTATGGACGGTACTGTAAGTATTTTTGCAATACAAAATAACACAATATGGAAACCGATAAGAATATCTTGCTTCTGGTAGTGATTTGTATTGCATTCTATTTTTAATGAAATACCGTGCTATCCTGACTACTATCGAAACCAATATAAACAAAAGACAGACTGAATTCACTTTACCTATTCTAGACACGAAAACAATAACAATTGATGCTTGTGGAAAAACAAGTTAGCTGTTGAAAATTATAAGACTTTACACATAATTTTAACGATTTATTCAATTGGAAACTTTTGACAATTTTTACATGACGAAGATTTTTATTAGTTTGGGAGTGAAATGGTCCAGGTTACTCATAAGAAAACTTCTGAAGAAATGTGTTTCACCCTATAATAATCTGGAGAACGTTGGTCATGATTGAGAGTTAAATTGTACAGTAACGTTTGACGGGCGTTGAACATAACACTATGAGGAAATAATGGTTTACTTTTACAAATTGTGACTTGGTTGGAGAGTTGTCTCATTGGTACTCATACCACATCTTCTTATATCTATATATCAGTACAAAAACGTTTACGCTTACAATTTCTGTTTATTTTTTTGTTTTATTCAATTACAATTATCTTTCAGACTGAACACGGTGCACAGATCTTTTCTTTATCAAGAAATAAAATTTAAATCTTTAAACTTGTGTTTGATTATTAAAAACAGATTTTTTAATCAATTAAATTATCCACAAATAGGTTGGAACATTTTATCTGTTATTACACAACCAAACCCCATGGTAATTTATCATCATTATATTTTGGAGCAAACCTAGGCTCTAGCTGTATTTTGTGTGTCGTCTTGTTGTTTCGAAATTGATGTATACCCTACATCTCCATTTAGTCAATATATAATAAGGAAAGAGACAGCCCTGTCAATTAAATTATTAAAAACAACAAAGAAGATCGCAATTCAACATGTAACATTTTTCTTTAAAAGGTTTTTATGACATATCTGAATATACAAAAGAAACCCAGTATTTTTGTTTACATACAAATCTTGTAGATGTTTCATAATAGTATGTATGTGTCAAAATAATGAAATACAACGGAAGATGGAAAAAAGGAACAAACAGAGGAAGGAAAGACAGCTATAAAACCCAGTTACAAACCACAAAGAAGACACACAATAACAAAAACTACTGCACATATCAATTAGACCCAGCAGACAAAGCACTGAAAATACTAAATCGCATAAAACTGGTCGTGATCAAGGGCTCTATCATATTAGAAACATTATGTTATATTGTATATTGAAAATACATTCATGCACATCACGTACACTATGTTCAAATGACATTATGGAAAACAGAAAACAATAGTATACAAAGTGGACCTTTGAACTAGCTGTCAGTAACTGCTAGTACTATTAGATCTGTACTTAGTGTCTTTTTTGTTGTATGGATGTGTAAATACCCTGCCTCGTCCGGTCTGTGGTTTTGTTAAATGTCTTTCTGCTTGCAATTGGTATCAATTTGATGAGTTAAGCCCTTTTCAACTGATTTTATAATCTGTTCTTATGCTGTACTGTTACACCACTATCCGAGGTAAGGGGAGGGTTTGGCGCCAACAAACTAATTTAACCACGCCAAAGTCTGTATGTGACTGTCCCGAGTCAGGAGCCTGTAATTCAGTGGTTGTCGTTTGTTGCTGTATATCATATTTGTTTTCTGAATTGTTTTGTACATTAATCAGGCCGTTAGTTTTCTCGTTTGAATTGTTTTACTTTTGTCATTTCGGGGCCTTTTATAGCTGACTTTGCGATATTGGTTTTGCTCATTGTTGAAGGCCGTACATTGACCTATAATTGTTAACTTCTATGTCATCTGGTCTTTGGTGGAGAGTTGTCATTGGCAATCATACCACATCTTCTTATTTTTATCTTTAATAGATTCGGCTATTCTTTTAGCCATTGGCCCACAAACGAAAATATCATGCTCATGGCAAAACACTGTTTGCTTTTTTCTCGAAAAAATAGAGTTACAACTCAACTCGTATTATCTCTCCATGAGATAATAAGCAATTTCAAATGACCAATGATAATTAAACAACGCCATTTAGTCGATGAATCTATCAAGCTCAAGTAAAGACATATTTTTCACAGTGGTTATTTATATTATAAATTTAAGCCATTAAAATAATTGAAAAAAATGTAAAAGACAGGGTGCAAATTTGTTTCTTAAAAGTAGTTTGTTATGTCGAACGATTCTCTTAACTGAGTATAACTGTACGGTTTTTTTTCTATGTGCCTTTTGATATTTTACTCGTCAAAATTTAAAACAATAGTGAGATCTGAATATGAAAAAGAACTTTAGCTCCTCCACATGTATTAAGACTGAATCCAGAGGTCGTCTGTGTATCTATCGTCCTTCCCTTCACCCATATCATCCTGCTCATTTGCTCCGTTATTTTCGTCTCACGAATTTTTGACGTGCACAGCACTTATCAGCGACGTCATAATATATGCGGAGAAGTTCCAATGTGTGAGGAGACGTTGTCAATCTTATTTTTGTCATGAATAACATTGTCCAAGGGCGGTTGAAAGACAAAAAATTATTCGTTAAACAGATTGTCGTTTTTTCTCAGTATAAATATAACAAAATACCAGCCGCTCGACACAATGCGAAAACTTTAATCTCACTCACCAAATAGGTTTACGTTATCAATTATTATGGCTCGCGGCTGATGTTAAATGATATCCATGCATAGAAAACCTGATCGTCTATACATATCTAAGTGCGTTTGACCTTCAAATACATTTATAGTGAAAGCTTCTTTCAAATTAATTCAAACTTGTCTATACTATGGGAGAAGTATCGCTTGTAATATGCCATAGATATTTGTCTAGTCATACAGACCTTTGGATGCCGTTAATGATTGTTTGGTTTGGTAACTGTCTGTTTTATCGTTTAATGTATACATACCAGTCTATATATCATGATGCAGTCGTTAACAAATAATACTGTGAGACATTCAACATGCATGAATTGTTTCATAATTATGTCGGGGCCTTTTATAGCCGACTATACGGTATGGGTTTTTCTCAATGTTCAAGGCCGTACGGTTGCCTATACTTGCTTATATACACTTATTTGACGTTTGGTTGATAGTTGTCTCATTGGTAATCATACCTCATTTCCTTATTTTTATATATGTGTAACAACTGAACTTAAAAACAGACCACGATCAGGTGACTGAACATGTGAATTCAATTACTACGTTTATTTTCTCGGAAGAATGTATAAATGTATCAATTTATATTAAAAACATAATACGGCTGGATTTATAATCAAGTGTAGTACCTTTCTGGTCTTTGGTGGTAGTAAAATAACTAAAAACCACTGTATATAGTGGAGTGACTTTAACCATAATATTAAATTTTTAATGCACCCACCTAACACACGGCTAAATTATATATCATTCGAAAGCTACACATCTGTACTATCTGTTTTGCCCGGTCGTAAAAAAATCGTACGGTGCAATTTCCGTCAAATCAAGATCAAAGGTCAAGGACGAATAAGTGAATATTTTCCAAGATGTCAGACTGATTGCATATTATGACTTCTATAAAAGAAATTTACATATGCAAACAATTTAAACTTTTAGAAGAGAGATTACCAGTCATTTATCAAACGCATTTTTGAATATTTAAAGCGTGTTTTTGATAGACAGCACATGTTTCCTGAAATTCGAGTAAAAGTTAACAAAATGAGTGAAAACCCACTTTTTTCTTTCTGATGCAACTGTTAATCACTTAAAACTAAGTAAAACCCTGTAATAACTATCAAAGAAGTTTTTGACATCATCAATTTCCTATAAGCATGCTTTCTGCTAATTAAACAGCAAATCATAACAACTCATACAGTTGCCCAAAATACCGCGATCTGCGGAAACACAGCTTTTAAGCACTTCTTCCTTTTTAAGCATTGTATGTGGTCAATATAAGATTTAATAAACAAATTCTTAAGAATCTGAAAAATTTAAAAGTAAAAAAAATGTGCAAGCATCATACTATTGCTTGAATTAAAGGGGGCAAAACTGCGAGGTTGCAATCTGCATTGTAACTAACAGACTGAAATAAACATCTTTCGACTTTTTGATTTGTTTGATTTGTAGTTTCATTATAATCATTGATGTAGGGAAAAGACCTTTTATTTATTTAATGTGAAATTTTTTTTGAAAGTTTAGACAAACATAAATAAAAAATAAATTGATGGAAATTGAAATTTCAAAGAATTCCAAAACCAGTAAACACATTATAACACTTCTTGATTGCTGAAATTGCGTTGTTCATTGTTTAAATGTATAAATTTATTAAAGAGAATAATTTTGAAGAAAAAATTCCATTAATACGCAACGATTCTAGTTACAACTAGACTTCCTGAAAAGCTTAAATGACGTGTTCCTTTGTCATACGAGGCTGACTTCATGCAAGAGCTTCTGATGGCTACTGAAAAGAAGCTACCATTATCTTGAAACTTCACTTTCCACTATATAGATGATGTCTTCTCACTGAATAGTGCAAAGTTTGTGACAATGTTGGACGCGTATTTTCCATTGAAATAGAAAATAAACGACTCAACAGATACATTTAACTCTATCACATATCTTGAAATCGACAAGGAGGGTCGGTTGAGAACAAATTTTACGACAAAAGAGATGATTTCACCTACCCAATTGTAAAATTTTCATTTCTATGTCGCAACATTACAACAACGCCTGAATATCTATACTACTAAAGGGAGAGACCGATTTCATTGAGCCGCAACACCTCTGAAACCTTATAAAGTCGGAAATATCTATGATATGACGTATAAATGTAGTGTGTTGTATTTCCTAAATTTTTCTTTGCATGCTCAGTCGACGTACTGCCTGCGAAATTTAAAAAAACCTCTTTGTTTCAACATTTGCCCATTTGTAACGTGATTTCGCGGCATCTTCTTGTGGAGTATATATCTCCAAGTTGATACAATATTCCAGAGCTGACGTTTACTTTCTCGATTTCATTGAAAACCAACACCAACATTCATAAAAACAGACTATTCGATAACAACTACCATATGTCTGACTTTGTACAGGACAATTGAAGAAAAATGTTTTAAACCAGAGTTCAAATGCAAAGTTGAAATCATCCCTTCGAAAATTTTATGTACGCCACTACTAAGTTGGTTGACAGTTATGAAATATCTGAATCGCCAGATGACAACTGATCAGTTCCAATCAACGTAACCAAAATACCGTCATCTCTGCCTTGAATGTCACCTACCGAATTAGGCTTGTCATCGAGTTAGGAATTACATGAGCCACATGACGGGTATCACATGTGGAACAGGATCTGCTTACCCTTTGAGAGCCCTTGAGTTCACCCCAAATATTTTCGGGGGTTTGTGTTACTCAATCTGTAGTTATATGTTGTGTTTTGTATACTGTTGATTGTCCTTTTCATTTTTTGCCCCGGCTTTGTCAGTTCGTTTTCAAATTATGAGTTTAGTGTCCCTTGGATATCTTTCGTCTCTCTTTAAGTAGTAAAAGTTTTAAAAATTGTAGTTAGATGTATCTTGAGTACGATTTGGTTCTCTATATATCACCGTGAGCAAATAAACTTATTTTCGCAGATATTTGTCTTATTGCGTTTAATCTTCT